GATTTGTTCCTAGCTATCTGTCCAAAATTCATATAATTATCACTCATGTATTTAAATTTTGTTTTGATAACCATTCATGTGTATTAGTAGTATTACTAAATTCTATCACGGTCAAGTAAAAATGAGGTTGAGGAAATCTCCCCGTAACTAAATAAACCGTATCAAACTAACTGGAACACTAGTTGGAATTCTTCTCCACGGTATACTTCTGTTCCTTCAGTTAGCCTACTAATACAGATGCAATTGGAATTCAACTCATATGGACAACTTACCGGCATAATCGTTATTTGATTTCATAATTTTAACCAAAACTAATACCAATATTAACATTTCTACAATATTCATTACTTTAATATTTCTAAACACAATATACTTACTGCCTATACGTTAAGTTATTAACACGCATCGTTTTATTATTATTATTGTAACCCCATTTTTTATAGTTCAAATAATCTTCAACCAAATTTTCATTTTAAGCGTGTTAATCATGAAGGCAGATATTTTAAGATTATTACATGTATTTCCCGACCAGATGCTGCTGCCTTCTTTTTGATTTATCTTTCAGCTTACCAATACCCGGAGGATTCTTATTATCCTTGGTAACCTCCGGCGCGCGACGATCCCATCCAATTTGGTATCGAACCAACATCACGTTGATTCTGGTGGGAGAGTAGTGTAGTGGCATTGGACAATAGCCACACAATCCACAAAGCTGTGAACACGAGACTACTCAGGAAATAGATATTCAATATTTAACGCGGAGAAATACCTAACGATGGAGAAGGCGCGAACAATGAATTGAATGGACTGGAGTTGATCGTATGGCATGGCTCGGCCATGCAGGCGTGGTCCATCTCAATGTTACTTTATATCTTCTATTCATATTAAATATATTGTTCTTTCTCTAGCCTAACCTTGTTCTACATCATGTATTGGTAATTGATACGATACAGTGAGTTGGTGTAGTCGATGGTGTGACTTCCACGTAAGATCTTATAGATTAGGCAGTTATATCATGACAAATCTACAAATTTAGGATTAGGTCTATTATTAGAGCAGTACTAATATCATAGTAGACCATAATTCTACAAAGCTACCATTCAATGGCAATCTTGATGTAGTACGCCTCGCCCGCAAGACCGGTATCCATGATAAATGTCGTAGTCGTCAAGACTCTGCAAAGGTAGTAAGTGGGCTTCTGAACTAATCCTCCGCAGGTTAAGGAAGGTGTGGTCCCTTAACATGACAATGCTTTGACAGAACGAGATCGTTGGTTTATCATTGGTAGACTATGAGCTGACTACGGACTGAACTTTATTCTCAGCAAGGCTTTCTACAAAGTCCTCGATATCGGATTACAGTTTTCTGTTAAATATAACCATAAGGAAGAGTTTCAGTGACTGTTAAACTGGCTCTAGAAAAAGACAGAAAAGATGTGATACGAATAAATAATGTGATCCAACAAACTCAGAGGATACAACGTCATCGCATGGCGAGTGTATTTTCCAGTCTGTATGCTAGTTCGTCGGTTAATAGGTTGAAAGCATTGGATCAGCGATTACCAAAATTTCAAATCAAAACTATTTAACAGTTTGGAAATATCCATTTTCACATCTGTATGCCTTAATCGAAATGGTCATAGGTGGCATTATATTCTTCCACGAACGCATACATAAAGCTACGCGGGTCTCACCGGACCACACTACATGGAATCAAACCGATCATGGTCGCACCAATGAAAAACTCAGGAAGATCATGGCAGACGTGAGAATGGGAGAAAAGCTGACGTAGCTTCAAATCACTACCAACTGGTGGTTGCCAAGATGAAGCTGAAGAAACACCGGACTGCTGAGGCGACAGCATTACCAAGGTTCAGTATATCCTTCCTTCAACATACTGACAAACTCAATCAATCCAAGATAACTCTGAACAACAGGTTTCAAGCCCTATAAAATCTAATCAAAAAAGAAGAAATTACTATGGAGGAGAACTTAAAAAGGACCAAAGAACCATTAGCTTTAACATGTCAGGAGGTTCTGGACCGCAACAACCATCATCATAAGGTACGGATCACTATCAAAACCCCGGACAAAGAATCAAGAAAGGAAGAACAAGAAAACAGCAACTAACAACAGGCGAACAAGAGAAGAGAAAGTAAAGACACAAGCTGAATACACAGAAGCAAACAAGCAAGTGAAAAGGAGTATTAGGACCAACAAGCAGAATTACGTGGAAGGGCTTCAAGACAAAATGTGAGACAACGATATGACATAACAAAGAAGCTGTCAAAGAAATGGAGTGAATCAGAGACTGGTCAAAAACAAGGAAGGCGAACCAATGACTGAGATTGGGTAACAGAGAAACGGTGGGTAGAACACTTTGAGAAATCTTTGAATAGACCAACTCCATTAAATCCACCAGGCATCGAGGCAACATCAATAGACCTTCCCATGGATGTTACTCCACCAACGATTGAAGATATCAGGATGGTCATCAAACGAACCAAGAGCGGTAAAGCAGAGGAATCTGACAATATACCAGCTGAAACACTGAAGTCAGACCCAGAAGTAACTTCAAAGATGCTCCATTTTCCATTCAAGAAAACTTAGTTCATATTGCCGTTCAGTGTTTGCTTACTTCTGTTCGTTTTACACTTTAGGGTCAATGGGTCCAGTCAAATCATTTTGAATTCAGGCCACTGGATGTCGAATAGTTCAGCGTTCCTTGTCAAGTTCAAGGACAACCAATGAGCATCAATCCATCACATGTCATGTACTGGCCCATGTGGTGGTAGTTGCAATATCCCTCTTGTGCCCACTTTTACAAATACATTTCTATAATATTGTCCTTTATGTTGTATGGTCTTCAAGGCAGACATAGTATCTTGATACGATGAATGGGTAATCCACGTTAGGTGCTGACCACAAGGTGTGACTTTGGAGTTAGTTGTTGGTCACACCATTTATGTCTAACTCGGGTATGTCCCAGTCACTCGACATAGATCATCTACTTTATTGATCTGCAAAATGTTTTCTTATTCCAACTAAGCTCTTATTCAGGTCACTACAAATCTGATGAGCCTGACGTATCCCGAACGAGAAGCCTTGTAGGCGTTCAAATAATTACTGCCTACATCAACACTAGATTTATGCATTAATTGTTGCTACAAAGATAGTAGAAGTGATAAATGTTTGGAGAGTGAAGCATATCCACCCGTGGTACAAACAAACAACAAATATTCAGTATGAATTTGATTAATTATGTAAAGTCACACAAAATGGAAACAAATTGTATTTTCAGATTTCAGATTTGTGTAGTAAGGAGAGAAGGCCTACGGCCTATGTTATTCCTTTTCTAGTATGCTTCTGTGAGTGTCCAGTCTTCTCTTGAAAGAGTCAATTGAAGGTGCGGACACCACTGCTTCAGGCAGCAGGTTCCAAGTATTGATGACTCGGTGTGAAAACCTGTATGCCACGGGTATTTTGTTCGTTCTTGGCTTTTCTACTCGCCTGCTATGTCCTCTGAGGTGTCCCGATCTAGTGGGAAGAAAGAGAGAGAATAAGTTAGGTCCGAAATCATTTCTCAGTATTCTGTACATCAATATTAGATCTCCCCTTAGTCTGCGATAGGACAGAGTAAAGAGGTTCAGTTTTTCAAGCCGCTCTTTATATGATAAACCCCGGAGTTCCGGAATTGCACGCGTAGCTGCCCTCTGTACCTTTTCTATTATGTCCGAGTCACCATTTAAACAGGGGCTTGCAGCCTGAACACAGTTCTCTAACTTAGTTCTCACTAAGGATGTGTATAATGTGGTGAACATGGTAGTATCAAGCTTAGTGAATGTCCTTTTTAAAGCCCAGAGGGTTCGAAACCCCTTAACTGCGACCTCCCGGCAATGGGCCGTCGTCTTAAGATCATTGCTCACTGTCACCCCTAGGTCCTTATGAGACCGGACTACGGGTAATGACACATCCCCTATGTTGTACGTATTAACCTTTGAATCCCCCAAGTGCATGTAGACACACTTTTCCGAGTTGATAGGCATTAGCCACTCTTTAGACCAGTTTATCATATTATTTAAGTCCGCCTGAAGAGTAAATGCGTCTTTGTCTCCAGTTATTACTCGCCAAATTTTTACATCGTCAGCGTATAATAACATTGGAGACTGTACTATACTTGTAAGATCATTAACGTACATTATAAAAAGTAAAGGACCTAAGACGGAACCTTGGGGTACTCCACTAAGTACTGGTCTCCAGATGGAGCACTTGGAATTTATTCTTACTTTTTGCCTACGACCTACTAGGAAATCCTTAATCCATTTTAAAAGAGGTCCGGCAATACCAAGGTTTGCCAACTTCAATAGCAGCCTATTAGTTGGCACCTTGTCAAAAGCCTTACTGAAGTCTATGTAGACAACATCCACTGAGTTTCCGTTGTCTAGCGCATTAATCCAGAGCTCCCTAGCTATAAGGAGGTTCGTTGTACAGGATAGACCCTTTCTAAAACCATGTTGTGCCATGTTCAGCAAGTTATTGGTTTCCATAAATGCTGTTATGGTCCGTTTGATTATTCTTTCCAGTATTTTAATTACAACACTGGTGAGGCTTACGGGTCTGTAATTTGATGGAACTTGTCGTAGACCTGTTTTATGTATGGGAGTGACGATTGCGTCCTTCCAGTCCATAGGTAACACACCTTGGTCAAGTGACATTTTGAATATCACAGTCAGTGGGGCTGCGATATATTGGGCAATATGTCTCAAGATTTTAGGGTGTAGTTCATCTGGTCCTGTTGACTTCTCCATGTTTAGGGTGCTAAGAGCCTTAAGCACATCGTTTTGGTCGAAGTCCACGGTGAGCAGCTGGTTTGTTGACTCTGTAATTGGGTCTGGTTCTTTCTCTAGAGGAGGTTCCTGAGTGAAAACTGCCCCAAAGTAGTCAGCCATAACCTCAGCTTTTTCCTGATCTTCCTCTATCATTTCAGATTCACTTCCTACTTTAATTAGGTTGGGAATCCAATGATGAATCCTTGTTCTGTAGTTTATGTACGAGAACTTTTACAATCTGAAAACCCTTAAGAACGAGGTTTCTTTCACCGTTTTGGCGACGCTCGTTTATTTCCGCTTCTGCAGCTCTTCTCTTAATACGATCAGCTAGGCTGAGGTCCTCACGGACATATATTCCGGATCCAATCAGTTTACGTGAATTACTTAGAATCAGGTTCCTTTCTTCCACCGTGTTGAATGTAACCTTTAGGAGGCGGTTTTTCTGAGGACTTTCGGAATCCACCTTTTTTCCTATTCTATAAAGCTTACAAATACTAACTCCTGTAACTGTACCTGGGAGTAGTTTACTTAATGATGTCTTAATATGATTGAGATCATGTTCAAATCTTGCCTTTGGTTCAGTATCTGAAGATTCTCTTATCTTATGAAAAATGACTGATCTATCAGAGAGATCTGTCTTTTCACGCGGTGAGGATTTTTCTTCTGATAACATCTCTTCCAATGTCTTGCTGACCAGCTGCGTTTTGCCTACAGCCTTTTTCTTCTTATTTTTTTTCTTCTTACCGAAGTCCATTTGTCAACACTCAGAACAGCCACACCTGGACTATGTGGAACGGTGACAGTTTTATCCGGATCTTCTACTTCCACTAGAGGTGTATGACTGCCGATGTCATTATCAAGCGACACTTCATTTCTCGTTAATGTCAACGGAGATTTCACGTTCCCGTCAACCGCACTCAGGTGTTTAATGGGTCCAGTAGCAGCACTTACTACACTGACACATTCTTCATCGTCAGTGCTCCTGTTATCAGTGCTTCCACCATCGTTTTTCTTTCAAGCCAAAGCCAATAGGCCCATAGCCTCCTGTATCAATACCTTTTTATCCGTACAGCAGAACATACAAAGCCAATGCGAGTTAGGCTTCGAGCATCTTTTGTAAGCCGTCGGACTTAGTCGTGTACACATTTTGTGATACCACTTTTTACAGTCGTCTTACTGCATTCCCTCCTCAACGGAGAACAAACAATTTGGTTGCCCACATTTGTGAGTCTTACCAACCATTGTAATTCGATTTAAAAGGTTTAAAAACAAAAAATGATAACAATGTGAACACAAGTGTTAGTCAAGGACTAAAAACAGGTACTCAGGACAAAATTTAGTAAAAAATTTCAAACTTTAACCAAAGAACTCTTAGTTAAAGTAGACCAAGAATGCTTTTTAGTGCAATAAGTACCAAAAGCAAGTATAATCACAAGTACAAAAATCACTGCCCTTTTTGAAACTAGCGCGGTTACAAAAATTATCTAATACACTTGGCATCAACTTTCTTCATACATTGTTCAAATGGTTCAAATGGTTCAAATGGTTGTTGACGGAATAGAAGAAGCTTTCGCTTAACAGGCTTCCGTGTCTAGTAGCAGGGGATCACCAAATCCTCCAGGCAGGAACCTAGGTATGTTAACAATAAAAAGGAAAAGAAATTGGTAAATCATAATGTGATGCTGTCCTTGGTCCTTAAGAATAGGTCAAGTTGCCTCTTGAAGGACTCCTGAGAAGTCGCTTGGACTAGCTCGGCCGGCAGCGAATTCCAGCTTTTGACAACTCTTAAGGAGTATAAGTTGTGTCTACATTCCGTCTTGCTATGTTGTGTTTCCAATTTCTGGGTGTTACCCCTTAGATTATTATTCGAACTAAGCTTAAGTAGGTGTTTAAGAGGATGTCCAGAAGTGTTAAGAATACTATAAGCCATTAGTAAATCACCTCTAAGACGCCTATATTCTAGTGGGTAAAGGTCTAGTGAACGGAGGCGTTCTTCGTAAGGCTTAGATTTGAGTCCTCGAACTGATTTCGTGGCTCGCCGTTGGATACGCTCCAAAGTGACCTTGTCCTTATGGAGTGAGGGGGGGAGTACTATGTTTCCGTACTCTAAATGGGGACGGATGAAACTATTGAAGATTGTATGGAAAGTTCGTCCGTCAAACTGTCTCTTATAACTCAAATGCAGATCTGAGTCAACTGACATTTCTGTTCAATAGAATTTGAGCATTGCTTTTGTTTGGATTCCTTAATTGTTTTCTTTTGACCTAGTGGTTGTACAAGTGACCTGGGCCCTTCATATGGTGTCGAATATCCTGCATTCTAGATGATGGTAATCTTGTCTTATTATTTTATTAACTTTTAAATGCAGGATGAGATGAACAGTTGTGTATTCACAAGATCAGTGGATCGCAGCGAAGACGACTCACCCCCTGTGTGTTTGGTAGAACTTATAAATTCCAAAACCAAAGTAAGCAATCGATACTTCCTTTCTGACAATAAAGGTTACTGAAACTCATGAATCTGCCGAACTCTCTGGTGGTAAATCAAATATGACCTTGCAAGAAAACTCGGGTAGTAGCTGTAAAGTCGAGGGAATTTGCCCAATTAAATCTGGCTCCTCGTCAATTTCGTTTCACGACTTAAAGTCTGAATCTCCTTTACCAGTACGTTTTTGTGTTTATTAAAATAAAATAAAAATACAAACAAGTAGTGAATTCCTGAACATTGAGTTTTCATATTGTACTATATATGCGGACAATTACATTATACACCGGCGTTATTAATTCCATCTTTGCTTTCCCCAAGTCCCTCCATATGATAAAACATTCTAGCACATTGGTCCTAATATTTCGCCCCTTAAAATCGACGAGCCTTCCACTTTCGTTGTCGCACATGCATAACCTTATTGCCTCCATAGTTGCACTTGGAAAATAGACGACCGGTATAGATTCTATGAGTTTTCTACTTTGTCTTTTATCTGGGATAATACCTCTTAGTGCAGTGGCCTTTGAAACGAAAGTACATTTGTAGGATAATAGTGGCTGTTCATGGGTGCTTTTAAAGTGTTATTCGTTTATATTGGAGCAGGGTCGAGTACCTGTTGAGGGTCCGGAATCGGCCGATGAGACTGAACCTTTATCAAGCGAAGTGTGGGATGTGTATGACACCCAATCGTGCCACTGATTGTGCGAATTCTCTCATTTCGAATCGTATTGTTAACGTCTTGTCTTTTTACTGTCTCTGGTTCTAATGTTACTTTGATAGTCATTTTCTGTTCATATGGAGTTGACGACAAATAGTTTTCAAAGTATGAGTTAATCCTGCAAACAACTCTGAATTAAGTAAACAGATTAGTTGATTAGTCAACATTTATCAGTTATCTCAAGTTAATATTTGTAACTGTGTTCATTTCATTCCCGTAAAACCTTTAAGTGTGTTTCTTTTTAAATGTCAGTGAGTTTTGGTCATTGCCAATGAACTTTGCTTCATGGGAGTGAACAGACTAATAAATGAACATAATGACAACTACATGAGGACACTTGATTTTTGCGTATACAGAAAACAGTGTGATGGTCATAAAAGTTAGTCACAGTTTGGTTTCGACACTTATTTTTCTAATCGTTCTAAACGATAATACAATGAGTTGGTAAATGTAACATTAAGTTATAGTGTGAGCGCTTGGCTATGTGATTAACCTAAAATCCATAATACATTATCTAAGTCTTTTCAGAAACGCATGTTCATATCAAAACTTATGTATGGTTTCGCATCACTCGTTTGTAGGGAATCGCATTTTTCAGAAGCCTATCTAGAGTTTCTAGCCACATACTTGTTTCATATATATATATATATATATATATATATATATATATATATATATATATATATATATATATATATATATATATTCGTCTTTCCGTTCAGTTTCGTAAATGAGTTAATTTAATTGGTGAAATAAGCAAAACTCCCTATTCCTCCAAGTATGGTATTTTACATGCATTAGAATTTCACTTTTTATTTGCTCACTCTTTTACCATTAGTTTTACAAACTTAACATTCGTATATTTTAGGCCGTGACATCTTCAGATGACAAAAGTGACAGTTTATCAAATACTCTTTCATCGGAAAATCATCTACCTAGGTCAATTGATCTTGAAAACACTCACATATCAACTAGAAAAGAATCGAGCTCACTTACTTCTGACCACCACGCTAGTAGGGATGGTAATGAATCTCTAACTGGGGAATATTATTTACAATCTAAAGCGAAAATGTCTACATGTGATCTCGAGACGGAAGATGAAGATGACGTGGACCTCGAAGATCGACCATTAACCGTCGATACTCAAGAATCTGATGAAGTATTACTCAATGAGTCTTCAAAAAAGACAATTCTCAGTACAAACAACCCCGTATGCACTATATCTCGTAAGTGAACAGTGCGATGAATACTGTTGTGTGTATATTAGTATTTGATAATGCCCCAAAGTCATGTTAATCACATAATCTCACTTGTGAAGAACAGTCTTGTTGTAGACACATCTGGCTAATATGTTCTGTATAATCCACATCATGGTGAAAGCATTCATGCATCAGAAGATTTTTTTGTCTAGTACAGGCTTATGTAATCGGGTTTGAACCATATTGTGTGAGTACTGATGTTACTACTCGCTTCTCAAGACCGTAGCGGTTCGAACCCATTGTCTAGTTGTTCAAAGTTGAACTCTGTAACCACTAAGCCATCGCCACACTTACATAGTGAGTGTAATGCTAAATGCTACTGAAGATATCCAAAGATTTGATACGTCTTAGTGACCCACACTACTCACCATTATTCATTCCTTATGTTCCTTGACGGAAAACGTTTTAGCGTTAGAAGTAGTTTATTGTTGCTGCATTTATATTTTCCTACTTTTTATTACTCCCGAATTTCAGTAATTCTGGAAAGCCGTATGCTCGAAGTGTAAGTCAAAACTGTTAAGTATTGAGAATCAGACTTTGGTATGTATTGGAGTATTCTGCATCATCATAAAAAGTTTATTCCCAGTAGGAAATATAGCGTGCTATAGATCACATGCTTAGATGCTTGATTTCCAACAAACTTTTCGCAAGTTCATAACTTGCTTATCGAAGCAATAGCTTATTAGTCAAGACACTAGATCTATAAGTAAAAGGCCTGAACTCCCACCACCTAATTCGGTTTCTTCAGTTGGTAATATTACCAACTTTAACAAAAAAATATGTCAAGACCATACATATCTAATAAGTTACTTTTCAAAGCCAAAAAATTAGGTACTTGTGCATTTTTACCTACTTCTACAGTTCACTTCTAACTCATTAGGTAAAGGTTTCAGTCCCCAAATAAAGATACATAACGTCCAAGTATCGTTTTATATTTTTAAGAAATATTATTTTATGGTCACATTCTAAAGTCGATTGACAGCATTATTTAAAATTACATTTTTGAAGCCATTGTACCATTTACTATCCTCGAGCTATATTTTCTCGTTGTGTTGATAGTTGTGGCAGGTACATATTATCCGTTTAGCTTTCTATTCAAAGTATTAGGTTTATCACCCGGTTAGATATTATGATAAGAGATGTTTTAGCTCGATGTTACTCCGTCAAAATCAAGGCAGCTCAAGTTTTTTCTATACCTGTCACAATATCGTATGCACTTAACATTCTTCTACTTGTAATGTTTTCCGTATTTTACCATAATATGCACATTGAATGTATTGTAAATGAATCCTTTAGTTGTATTTAGGTCGAGACATGTTTATTTAATGTGTATTTTAGATTCAGTGACTGAAGAGAAAGAGGATCCTACCTCCAGTGTTACAACTGCAAGTAAAACGTCATTTGTCGTAATCCACAACACGCCATCCGCCGTTGTATGTTTGTCTTCACCACCTTCGTCTTGCCAATCTACACTTTCAGTTCAAAACTGCCAATCTACTAGTGTTCCCAACAAAAATTGCTCTTCAGAGGTACATCATACTAGTGCTCCTGTTGCTTTAGCAACTGTGGCTCCTATAAGAATGTCATCTGTGGGGCCTGATTATAGCCTTTCGTAAGTTCTTAGCATTTAGTTGAGTTAATTAAATAATTGGAAATATTGAGTTTGTTTCATCGATCATTTGTACATACATAGTCGATAGTCACTGAGATCAATAGCGCTATTAAACGACACGATTGTATTTGTACTAAATTGTGGCGAAATGGTTTGGTGTCAACTGTGGGCGGTCTGTAGTTAGATACTACTTAGTGTGATAATATAAATTAGATGTCTGTTTACAAGTCTCTGGTTTTAGAGTTGTGCTCATCACAAATATTCATATGTCCACTGACTATGTATAGTCTCTATCTAACCAATCCTGCAAATATATTCTAAAACTTAATCTCAGACATGTTATGTTCTAACTTTTTTGATACTAATAGATATTCAAATGTAGAATATGTGATTTGCTCTTCGTGAATCGCTTCTACGGAATTACGATCTATTTCACAGTATAAAATGGCAAACTCGGTGATCTTTGTTTATAATCCAGGATCGTTTCCTATGTTTCTCACCATACGATTTCATTGTTTTTATATGTATATTCCTAGCGTTTGTAAACGACACGTTTTTGGGACCAATCGATTCATCATATAAACTAGACACGAAAACAAAATAAATGTTACAGATATATACACTTTGCAAAACTGCTACAGCGGCTTAGCGTTTAGGGAACTCGACTTTTAATCATTAGGTTACAGATTCGAAATACTACCTCAATTACCTTGGTTTAGGGAGTGGTTAGTATCACTTCCCTTCACACCAGTATGGTCCAAGGCCATGTACGAAAAATCTGTACTTGATAAATTAGTTATATTAACATTACACAACTAACTTCATGACTTTCTACAAAGCAGTTTTAGTTCCAGTTTCCTCATTTGCTATTAGTAAGATATTGCTTGCTTGTAGACGTAGAGTACCATTGTAGGTTTAGTAATATACAAAGTCATATATTATGGTCTCTTTACATCAGAACTTGTTTAAATAGTTAATATTCAGTTGTTTATCTGTGTTTACCTTTTTATCATTGTCAGTTAAGTCTCTATTTTTTCAATAACATTCAGAATGAAATTTTAAGACCTATTAAACCTGCTACACAAGATACCCAGACAAATACGGTTATAAGCAATCAGGCCACTCCTCAGACTGTTACATCAATATTTCCTAGCAAGCATGAAATTGTTTCTACAACATCATCTGTATCTTACAATCCGAAATCTAGTCAAAGTAGCACAAATGAAAGACTTAGCTTTCCTGCGGTTAGTATCACCAAACCTGCGTCTATTGGCACAACTTCAGTCACAATTTCTATTGCTCCTACTATTAACTCTTCTGTGATTACTACTCACAGCATGCCAAGTATATTCAATGTTAGAACACGTCCAACGGTCGCTCAGTCAGTACTTCCAGTGTTGTCTGTTGGTCCACAACCAGCTCCATCTCTCACCACACAAACTTCTCTTTCATCATTACAATCTCAATCTACCGTACACTTTATGCCTTTTGTCGGTAATATGCCTGTCACAATGCCAGTTTCTGCAACATCTACCGGTTTAAGAAATGTTATAAATCACAACCAGGCTATACCAATTGCTGGTACACCAACTGCACCATGCCCTCCGCTTCAAATTTTCAACATGACACCCATGCCACAATTTATGGGTAGGTTATGATAAGAAACTTTTTATTTTTAGTGTATCCTTATTGTTTAAGGATATATGTATATCTACATGCATCAAGTCAGTAGACGAGCTAATCTCCTGAACTTTCGTTGTGATATATCATATTGCTGTTGATTAGAATTAATCTACATGTTGATGAATTATCGATCCCAGTTTCTTTCATAACTTTATATATATATATATATATATATATATATATATATATATATATATATATATATATATATATTCGTTACTGTTGTCTCCTTATACTATTCTTTGTATTCTATCTGCGTAATTAGTCACGTCATTTTGATATAAGAACTTGTTAGCCAAATTTTATTCCAAATAGTGTGTTACGAATTCGAACTGTAGTTCTTCTCTTTTGAGATGATAAACAGTCATGTGACATTCTAATCCTTCTAACAATATGTGTAGTTTGAAGCACGACGTATAAATTCTTACCTGATTACTGACCTGCATTGGCCATTATTTCAGTCATCAGAAAAATTTCTTGCCCTTTAGTTTTGTTACTTGACTTTTAATAGTTATATCTTGGATTAGCATATCTTTTCTTCTGTTGAAGTTGGGATAGTTCATATTTGACTGAAGGAACTTTTTAGAACGTAAGGGTTGTGTCAACATAAGATGACGTTAATTCTGAAGTTAGATTGAACACACAACTCAGTAAGTTAAAGTTATGTTTTTACTCTTTCCGACAAGTGAACTGTATTGTGTCACATGTTAGTAACCCCATTTATTTAACTGGTGGGTCGCTAGCTAATTCCAGAAAACAGAACTAAACTAGTTCCTACTCAAGAAATATAAAAACCTAAAGATTTTAGTTAAAGGAAGGATATATCGGGTAGACTTATAAACTGTTTTAGTTTAAATAACCCACGATTTTACTGTGTTCAGTTATGTATGGGTCTACCACCACCACCACACCACCAACAACAACAACAACTACTACTACTACTTACTACTACTACTACTTATTATTATTATTATTATTATTATTATTATTATTATTATTATTATTAATTTCCTTCAACCGACATCTAAACGTTTTGTAGTCTAGGTATGCATTTGACATAAAATGTCGGTTATATTGCGTCAACCGAAATTGTATATATTTGCAACGTGTGGGTACAAATAACAACTGTAAAGGAATTTGGCTGTTCATAGGGACTAAACTTTATTTACCTTATAGTCGATTACTAATTAACAGTATGCTTACCATAAGTATTACCCTTTGTTTACTAGGTACTCCTAGTTATGTGCTACATCCTACTGGGCCAGTTGCCGGTGCAAACAGCTTCCAGTTTCCTCAAGGATCAACACACTTGCTACCTGGATTATCAGGAAGTGCGGGAGTCGGTGGGGCAACATTCAATTTTTTACAACCACAAAATTATCCGTCAACCATTTTCCCTCAGCCTCCCACTATACCTGATCTACTGATTGACCCACAAAATCCTATGGGTTTAGGACATTCTGTTTTAACCCCACCTACATCGATCGCTCTCATAAGTGCTATAAATAACCCTAGTTCATCATCCTTCACATCAATTTATCCAACTCTTTTACATCCACCCAACCAAAATTTTTTCCCAACATCATCTACACATTCTGGTCCAGTGTCCTATCCATATTCAACTGCCTTAGCGGCTGGTACAAATTTGGTGAATGCAACTGCACCACAAATGGCTACTTCCTTAGTTCCCGCTGCAGTTACAAACTTTCCAAATATCCATAACTCAAACGAAACAAATTTCATGTTTCAATCTGGACCGCCACACGGTACTTCTTTCATTTCAAGTAATTTCGCTCCAAATCCGGGACAATTGTTTCCGCCTTGTCAAGTAAGTCAAATGTGTAATTAACCACCCAATTAAATGTAGCTTGTCAACATTACATACCTAAAGTATTAAAGCTCTAGGAAATAAAAAAGGTAATCCCCATCATAATTAGTAATACTTAAAGAATACCTTTGAAAATTCAGTCTATTGAACAGTTGCTTATTGATTTTCGTGCGTAAGCAAAAACACCAGATCGTCCATTAGGTGAATTTCGGAATTTTATGCTAGAATATTTGGTTTCTACTTAAAATCGTGGAGCTTTGGCCCAATAGTTTCACTACTACACCATTAAATAACCTATACACAAACCAAATTATTTGGAGTGGCTAGACAATATCGTTAGCCTTTATAAAGTAAGTGTGGTGCTGAATCAGTCAACGATGTATGTAATGCTACGGCAAAAGTATAGTACTATTTGTTGAAGTCTGGAATTCATGACAATCAAAGTATATACATCGTCGATTTAGTAATGATTACTTCCTTTTGTTATCGTAAAATACTAAAGTCTTCCATTGTATCATTAAAGAGATGTCATGTTTGTCTAAATTATAGACGATTAATATAAATACAAAGCATCCATTTAATACTGGCGTTAGTCCATGAATTTATTAACCATTCGTATGAGCTTTCCTGTTAGATGCAGACTTGTTAGTTGAAGTCTACGGGATAACAGCAATCAGTGGTTAGAAACTTTTGGTAACTTGGTTCGGAATCAGTCACAGTAGTGCAAAAACAATCACTCTTGATCTCGAGCTGTAAATATTTCTTTATATATACCTTTCCATCTTGTTGTTTTCAAATCATATTTCCCATGTTTATTCTTATTTATTATCATTGATAATACGATTGTTTTGATTCCTTTGTTATTCATCTTATTAATGTCATCTCTTTGTCTCAATGTAAAACAAGAACATTTGAGCTAACGCCTGTTTATGTTAGACTATAGATTGATTATGACCAATTCAGTACTGGTTAGTTATCAATCTTTAAGCCGATTATATAAAATAGTGAAAGCGTTTTGAGTATATTTAATTGATTTCAAAGCTAATAACTAATCATTTAAGTAATCAAACTGTACACTTAATAACCTATTGATGCACATAAATTCTTTTCTGAATACTTCGAGGTTTATCAAATAATAGAATTTCAATTGTTATATAAACCTAACTATAGTACTCAACACCATACCACGTATGAGGTGACCTAATATAGTCTGTTCACACTGTTAGTTAGAAAATGCTGTTGATTCGTTTTTTTATGGTTTATCTTGTCTATTGAATTCATCAAGCTTTAATTTCACTAAATGTTTACATCTTCCTGTTACATTCTAACAAAATAATGATCCTTGATCCCGTACCTGAGGCATGTTGTTTTTTAACTTCAGAATGACTCGAACCCAACTTGATTTATCAAATAAAATGTTTAAGCAGGAACCGTTCACTCTATCTATATAGTTAAATAAAATAATCACTATCAGATTCCTTAGATAACTTAAACGAATTCTAAAAATTGTCATCCACTCTCGAAGCACTTACAAACACCGTGACTGTTTTAATTAAACGTAAAATTCTAGTAAGATAAATTCAACGCAATATCTTACCTTAAAGAAAAAGTACCTGGGCATTGAAGCTTTTGTTTTTTGTTATTTTTAAACTTTAAATATCCTTATATTTCTGCGTCTGGATAACTTTTAACCAAACACCATAATCGCATCCAGTGTATTTTTCCCTGGTTATGCTTTTTTAAAACTGATTTCTGTTGTGCAAGTTGTAATTTTTGAGTTGTGAACTCAATCAGTCAGTTAGTTATAAAGAAAATAGAGCCTGGGACAAATATACGTTGGTTCAAGTTCCCCATACCACACTAGCACGGCAAGATGTACATAATAACTCGGTTGAAATAATGTTGTAACATTGATAATGAGAAACACTAAACATTAAGATAAATAAAGGTATAAAGAAATACTTAGCTCGAAATCTAAGGGAAGATAAAAAAATAAATGCATCTACATCATTATGTTCAACTCTAAAGCCTTGTTACTCAACGTCTTTAATAACAGATATCCTATTGTGATGTGCGCTACATATGCGGACATATATAAGTAGTATGTGGTAGTAATTGGGAGTAAAATCCTTATCAGCAAACAAGTGAAATAAAGAGAAGACGAGGAGCAATCTGAAGAAAGATGAAGTATGTAAAGGATAACTAAAGGAAGATAGGGAAATGGTGTAATTTAATGTATGATTTTCATATTTTATAAAGACAATGTGTGATTTGCACAAAAATAGTAAATTAGTTTACCGTACTTGATTTTCCGTTTACTACACTTTCGTAATCCATGTATTACATTACTTCAACACTAGTTACTCTATATTTAGTCAGTCGTATATTTTCTATCAAAAACATTTATCGTGTTTTATAATTCATTTCTTTTTGTTTTGTTTTTTTTAGTTCCCTACATTTCCAAATCTATTTCAAACCAATGATAATTGTTTAACTAATACATTTATCTCATCTAGTCTACCAACTGATTTAACTTCTACTTGTGACACAAAATCATCTTTAAATATTAATGGAAATAGTCTTGGCGGTAATAGTGGTACGTGTTTATCAACTTATTGGCCGTATGTTAGTTCAAATGATCTAATAAATCCAACATCTATTGTTCAAGCCACCAATTCAACTCATCAAACAGATTATTTACAATCTGTTAGTAATAATAGTTTAAATGATCGAAGTAAAATGAACGATGTCAATACAGACAATAGTGGTATTTTAAACAATCCTGAAAATATTAATGGTGGGACTGCTACTACTACTACTACTACTACTACTACTACTACCACTATTACCATAAATCCATTAACTCATGTATGTCATCTTGTTTAATGAAATTAGAATTTTAAGTGTATTATAAATAATTCTACTGGTTATTTTAATCAGTGACTTTTCATTTCAGTTTACTTGCACTATCATTGATGCTCTCTCTATGAATTAATGATCATTGTTAAAGTTATAAATAAACTAAAACCAACAGACCTTAAAAAGTACAGTTTGTTGAATAAAATATTACACAATTGAATGTTCACAACTGAATTCACCAAGCAAACAACATGTTCCTCTTACATATGTAGGTTCAGTTGTCCTAACTCCTGGAGGCACGATTAATTTGTCGTCTGGTGATTGCTTTATTTTGATAGGTTGTGGATAGATACCAACAGGATGATGACCATCAACCAAGTAATAAGCTATTACAGTGTTAAATCTATGTTTTGATTTTCGTCTCAAATTTTATAAGGTAGACTCGTAATTGCAATTGGGAATCCTTTATTTCTGTTGTTCTGATGCATGTTCAAATGCAGATAACGTGAAGTCGAAATGAGTCTACTTGTACTAATCCTATTTCTAATTAATCCAGTTTTTCTAATTACTTAGTGACGTAAATTTCCTATTCCTAGGATGGGCTCTTAGATTTACCTTTCTAGAATATTCACAAATACTATGCATAATTAACGTTTCAAACAATCCCTTCATATCTGTTTTCCTTATTAATCTACATCTATACCACCCCATCCGCCTTAGTTGAATCAAATGAAAAACAAACCGTGAAAACTTTTCATTAGATATTCTGTCGTGTTTCACTTTACTTATTGTGCCACCATGGAAAAGGAAATATATTATTTTTAAAAAAGGCTATACAAAAGTAAACTGTTGTTTAGGAAAAGCATATTCATAATATTATTGCAGTACGAGGTGCTTAATAGATCCAATATAACCAATGGTACAACTAATTCTTAGATGTATGGACTCAAATAGTTGACCTCTTATTGTTAATTGGTTCTTTGTTTATATAAAGTGACAATTAATAGGGTATGTAAACTCAACAGTATTTATGCGAACTCCATATTTTCAAAATGCAAATTGCAAATATCGTGTTAAATTCTACTTAATACTCTATTAGTCACATTTTAATGAACTTTACCTTTATTGCATAATGCTTTTTGTAACTACCGTGTTAAATTCATATACAATGTAGAAATAGGTCGAAAGAAAATAAGTAGCGGCCAGATAAAAACGTCATGTTACTCTTAAATAATGAAAATAATAATAATAATAGCATCAATTCATAGAATTATGATCTGCTGATCTAAGCCATATCGGATTCTTCTACGACCCCGCCACAAGTAATCGAACCGGGAAACTTCATTGTTGTGCATAAATGCTTAGGCTCTAATCAGCATTTGATGTTTTTAATATCTAACTCCGATTAATTCACGATATTACACGACCATCTTCAGTTACTTGCGGTAGATAACTGAACTCTATCAGTCACAGCTTGTGATTTTGATTGTATTAGTTACTATTAACTTCCATACAAACTAATCACATCAATGGATTGTGGTAAATAGCATATATATATATATATATATATATATATATATATATATATATATATATATATATATATAAAGACTAATTACTTCTATACCATTTTTTTAATTTGCTATATTGAACTAATCAACTTGATAACTGTCTATATTTAGAATTTGTTTTTTGGTTCTCAAGTAAATTGCATATTAATTTTCACTTTAATTGAATTACAGTGTAGCATAGTTTTAATAATTCTCTCTTTCTTTTTGCTTGTTAACTAATATATACTTGATGTATTTAAATTAGAAAATTCATCAATGTATTATTATTTATTACGTAAATTGTTGACGATAGATTGGTGTATTAATGGTTTCTTTTTCTCTCTCCCCATCTACTTCGGTTTGCATAACTGGGTAATTCCAGTTGCCCCCGCCCCTCACACTTTAAATTTGACTCCAAGTCAAGTACATAAGTGTTTGTACCTTGTAGGATAAGTTAACGAATAAATGAACAAATAAATATTGGACTTTTAATTGTCAGTATTATTTACTTAGAAATAGAATTTTTATATCTCTGAGGCAGGGAATCACTTACTGTGGTAGTCTTTTAAAAACCTCATCATGAAAGAATTTGTATCTAAATATTGTAAAATTACTTTAGTCGTTATTGTATACAATGTTTGCTTGTTTTAAAAGCAATATCACTGTGAATGTGTATTGTTGAGTGAAAAATCAATGAATTATTCCTTTTCGTGTACCATTTATCTCACAACATCTTGAAAGAATCTCAAAAAATCCTACTTGAATTGTAACAGGAAAGAAATACAAATTAGTAATTGTATTATGAACTATCCAATTAAATTATTTAAACTATGTAATAGTATGGACAGAAATTTAAAGTATGGGAAACTTCTAGGTCATCGGTTAATAAGAAATTAACATGTCACTATTTAATTAAGCTGCCTCTTGTTAGAATCAGTTCTAACAGGTACGAATTCATATTGAAATTTCTCCTGTAGAACTGCCTATGATCAATTAACATTTTTAGTGAATTATAACCAGTTATGTTACTTGAATTTTTTCTAGTCATGATTCGTAGAATCGATTTACTGTTTCATATCTAGATGTGTCCATATTTATGCCTTACGCAATAATTGTAACTTGAAATCGAAAACACTATTATGTGCTTGGTTCAGAAGTTCATTTTCCTCATAATTTACTGTATAATACAGTGTTAAATATATCAATGTAATAATTTCATTACATTTCCTAATGTTCATATAACTCACTGATATCAGTCATAGGTGTATATGCTCAGTTTTACATCGCATTGTTTATCTGTAATCTACAGTCACTATCGAGTTGTCTGTATTAAATTAAGTAAACAATAGCGCGGTTTGAACCTACAACCTAGTTGGATGAATTAGAAGTAATTTAATCACTATCCTCTACTTACTTAATGTTGTTTTCAAGCATTGACTTTGTGGTTATGGCGTCCAAATTTCAACCACTAGGTCTCAGATTCAAACCCCTCTCCGCCTACTTCAGTTTAGGCAGCCAAGTAGTACTAGTAGTACCACTAGTCCTAAGTCAGATAGATGAATCCATACTTTACAAATAATTTGACTGCTGCTTAGTGTTGGCTAATTAGGTTGTACAATATTTTGATTATCATTTGTTTGTAAACTATTTCTTTTTAGAAAAAATAATTTACCTTAACAGTTTCATCATGTTTAGCAGGAAATCGTTTATTTGATTTTTATTTTCGTTTATCTTATCTTTTTCTAGGTACCAATTAATTCGTCAATTAACAGTACGTTTACTACAATAAACACTACTACCACTACTAGTATCACCTCTACGTTAGATAATAATAGTAATAATAACAGTAGTAATAATGGTAATCATAACAAAAATAATATAGTCCCACTTAATTCCTCGACAACTGTCCTACCAGCTATACGTCGTCGCCGTCGATTATTCGCACAAAATGGTATTAAACCAATTACAAATGTGATTCAAAGTCCTTTTCTAAACCATACTAATTCCATGAATGATGAGAGTAATAATTCTACTGTGGTGAATTCTACTGGTGATGATACAAATATTCCAACGGTATCTGATTCACAACTTTGTGCAGATGTTAATAAGAGTAATGATAATGATGATAATAATAATAATAATATAGCAGTGTTGATAATGATGTTGATGATATCATTAATATTAATAGTGATTCTCTAACAACATGTGACAATGAATTAAAACAATCAGACACTATGCAGGTAAGTCTTTGTTGTGACTTTTTAATCGTTAAGAAATGTTAGTAATCACTTTGCATAATAATGTTAAATGAGATTCAAACGGTTAACGAAATTATATCTCTACTCATCTCACGAAAACTGAAATGTATCATAAATCTTGTGATGTTAGGTGGCTGGAAGTAATAGTCTACAGGAATCCCTCAGACCCCATCAGGTTTCATGCTAGTGGGGACTTGTCAATAAAGTGTATTTGAAACCTGGAGAGCATTGATACACTTTGTGAGATTTGAACCCGATTCAATCAGTTTACCTTTCTAACAATCATTCACTCAGTCAGTCAGTTACTTATAACGTCGAACTCAGCAAATATGTGCATCGAGTTCAATTTGCTACATCATATCACTACAGGGAGTTGTAAATAGCAAGACAAAAATTACCAGAGTTGTTGAAATGGTCACACTATCAATATTACCTGACAAAACATTTTATTTGAATGCATCCATTCTGCTTTTGATATCTTGGATATTAATTTTTTTTAGTTGTTTATTTCTTTCTTACTACAGCTCGATCTTAATCCAATATTATTGGCTAAACAATATCTTACTTTAAAATTCGTTGAATCGATAGGTTACAGCTTTGTGTTAGAACTTTGAAAAATGTATCTTGAATCTAATCGCTAGTGTGTACGTAAGCACTCGGTTAGTGCTTACTAAGGTGATTTTGTGGATTATTTATTTCTATAATTTGGAAGTCATTTTTATCATAAACTGATATCATACATTCTTCAGTAGATCTGAATCGCATTTCACAGTGTAGTCTAAATCTAGGGCTTCCAGGTTTTCGATAGTGGTTTAGCTTAGATCGACTCATGAATCCAACTGTTATTGTGGTGTGAGCTACTTATATTGATATGAGTAGTATATAATGTGAGTTAAAGAACGTGATGTCTGGCAGTAGAAAATGGGGAAGATCAAGAAAGGAAGAGCGAGAACACAATGGAATTTGTAAGAAAACGCATGAACAATGGAATGGAAGACAATGGATTGGTGTTTGCAACGGAAACAGTCCAGTTTGGTTTGATGCATGAATATTTTTGCAAATTGACAATTTACTATATGATATTCAGACTTTATTGAGATAGTCTGTAATTGTTGTGTTAAATACATTCGATTGTCCCCACTCGTGTTCTGTTCACAACATTATAATATAGGATGCTCAATACATCCTAATGACGACCCAACTCGTTAGATGTACGTTCTCCATCTAAGTTCAAACTTTAACTCAGTACCTATGACTTCCAAACTCAACATATTATCCACTAATTTAGTGAGTCTAATTAGTTATTATCAATAGAGACTGATTAATTCTAGTTTTTGGTTAATAAAACAACGGAAAAAATACAAATAATATCCCATGTTACCAAATTTTCCACTGCAAACAATTTCAAAACATCCATCGGTTCATTACTACTATAAGAATATGAAGAATTCGCATTGTCCGTTTTTCAATCGTATGTGTATTGACAAAAGTTTAAATCATCCCCATATCATATTCTTCCTTCTGAACATTATTCTCTGCGTGTATTTGTATTTTTCATTAACTGTTTTTCTCTCTCGATCAGTCGCTTACATCCCATCATATGCCTATATTTATTCATTTGTTTTTTAGTCTACCTCTATCTCCTTTTACCTAAAATTTAATTGGTTGTTTTATCTTGTCTTACCTTTGTTTACGCATAAATATTTTTCTCTTTTTCTTAACTTGCTAAAAGTTTATCGGTAGAATTATTTCCCTTGTTTTATGTGTCTTGATCACACTCATCATATCATCCCTTTCTCGGATAAACTAAGGTTTGTTGTACTATCAAATTTACCGAAAAGTCGTCTATAAACCCAATCAACTTGAGATATTACATAATATAGAAAAGGATGGATTGATTCTTTATGATATTAATATTAACGATAATTCAATTAGTGTCACTATCTTGAAACATCGACTTCGGTGGCTTTGATATGTTCTACGAATGTCGTCCCGGAGAATCCCACGTCGTGTATTATTTGCCGACACTGGTTGGAAAAAGCGGGGAGGTGGTCAGTGTATGATATGGTTGTGACTGACTGATAACTCCTTTAACGTTCAATTATGACAACTTTTTTGATAACCATATCAGTCATATCCTAGAAATCACATTATCCCTTTCATTTTGACAATGACATTTGTTTAGGAGAAGTATCGATGGATCTCAGATCTTTCTTCTAAAATCTAATATAACACTGATGTATCCAAAATAAACATGATGAGTCAAAGACCCTTTTTAACCACTTAGCCACTATCTCTTTATAATCCACTTTCGAAATGCTCTCACATGGCCACGCGTATATAGCTTCTGCCAGGGAGGTCCTACTCACTGCCTTCTCATGCCATTACTGTTGTTTACGAAATTGAGAGGACGACGAAAAGTGAATGTCTGGCCCTTCAACCGGGTTGGTGGACACGGAGACTCTACCTAGGGGAGTTGGAAAACCCTCATTCCAAACCAATGTTCCACATAGTCTCCAGAATTCTAAAGAAACAAATAGCGTATGAACCTATTGTTGGTCACCGGCTACCGTGGGACTGCATCTCCTTACGATGCTCCATTGCCTTGTGTATTAGACCTTCATGTCGAAGGCTCCGTGTGTGGCTCCCTAAGAAAACCATCTGCTTCAGCTTGGGCACCCGGGCAGTATCACAGCCCTCACAGAAATCAAATGAGATTTGTGTGGCGCATATGTATTTGGTGCCTCCTTGTACCATTATATGTGTTCAAATAATAATAATAAACTTAGGACTTGATATAAGTATATATCAGTTGAAGTTGCTACATGACCTCCATTTATTATTAACTTTCAGTTTACGACTTTGACTGGTAGTAATATACACGAACGTAGACATTGTTACTAAGGTGTTTCTTTATAAGTTTAACTCATTGACTTGGTTATTATTTCACTGTTTCTCATTCATAATTATCATTAAATTTACCGTTCACATTTCATTCACAATAATAATAACTGGCCGTGTTAGTTTAGTGCAAGTGATTTATGGGGTGGTGACCCAGTTCTAAAAGCATTCGACTTCAAACGTCTAAGTTAGATGTTCGAAACTTTTCCCCACCGATTTCGGTCTGGTCAACCGAACAGTATCATTGGTTTTCACACTTAAAGTGTGGCTTGCAAAGCTAAGTATACACATTTGTACACCTAGTGAATGAATTAAATTACACAATATACCATCTTTTTTAATATTGTTTTTCGTTTTTTTCTTCACTCATTTCATTGAATTCAGTCGTACGATAAATTGACCCCTTTTACAAAATCATCAACTACCACAATACTCAATTTCAGGAGTGACACGTTACAACAATCTGTTGAAAGTGAACAATTATGTAATCAGATCTCTACTGATATTGAATTTACTTCTAAATTATCGAAAGAAATGTAAGTTACTTTTGATTTCTTTTCTCTTCTAAGTTTCTGAATATTGGTCCGACATACTTCCTTTTATCCCCAATATTCGGTCGGAAGACAAATATATAAGATAAGACTAAATAATTAACAGGATCATATACTTTAGCTTAATCTGACGTAAATAAGAAATCGAAATTCGGACATACAACTATATCATAGGTAATAAAAATTGAGGAACAAGTCGATAATTGATTAATAGTAGCTTAAGGAAGGCTTAACATACATCATTAGTTATTAAGTTAAATGAAAGCTTATAAATAGGTTAATATGAAATTACCGTGAACCGGCTATTTAATAAATACGTAGTATAGACACAACAATTCATCATATATTGGTTTTAAAACTTTCACCTTTCCCAAACATTCTCCAACTCATATCTAACATATTATTTAGTCATATTAAGTTTCATTACGATATGTCTTGAGATCAGTTTGGTTTAGGTCTATGGTAATTTTCAATTACGATTGATCAAGATTATTCTAATACAATTGGGATCTATTGCAACCTTCATAATACGGCAACTAACACATACCGCTTAAACAATAATCCCGGAACTATAGAACCTGAGAAAAATTTTATGAGTTACAGAAAAAACTTGATATTTAACAAAATCAAATTGAATTAGAACTGATCTTCACAAATAGTAACAAAACATAATCGCGTGACAGTAAAATTAGTAAACTAAAAGTGGTAGCAACCGAACATGCAGAAATTGTGAATTAGAAAAAATGTACTCAGATTGATTAGTACAGAAAAGAAATTAATACTCATTGAAAAAAACAAACTAGGTGATCTGAAATCTTCTTAGTGTATTATTACGTGAATGATAAGTTCTTAATCTAATCTATCTCTCTGTGATTTCAAGAATTATTCTAGTTTTAAATAATTTGTTATAGCTTTCCCCTTATACGTTTTTATTTTTAAAAATAACCATTTATACTTGATTAACGTATTATTTTGTTTCATTGATGCGATTTCACATTTAGTTTCTTTGATCAATTTATCATTGAAATGTATATAAGAATTATGAAACGAGCGCTTATTTGGAATCATTATCCACAATTGTTCACTGTAGTGAAGTGGAATACATACTTTGTTATTCTTAAAGTTATGTAAAAATCTGGAAGCACTGGACGGTCGTTTTATCCTATTGTGGGACGCCTCGGCAGTGAACATCCACAATCCCGCTTCGCGAGATTCGAATCCATAACCTACGGTCCCGCGCGCGGGCGCTTAACCTCTAGACCACTGAGCCGGCCGGCATCCAACTGTGTTAATTTCTAACCTCAACTAATCCACTAAATTGAGCGACACATCCACCATTGTCTTCAGTGAGTTATTATCTCACAACAGACCCGGTTGAACTCCACTGGTCACTGTTTCTCACTAGAACTGCAGGGAATTTCTCCTGAAGCCAGTCACTAGTGAACATATGTTGGTTAATATCAGAAGGTGTATTTCCTGGATTTTTAGTGAAAAGCAGTGACCAGTAGAGTTCAACCAGATCTGTTGTGAAATAGTAACTCACTGAAGACAATGATAGATGTGTCGCTCAATTTCGTGGATTAGTTGTGGTTAGAAATTAACACCGTTGGATGCCGGTCGGCTCAGTGGTCTAGTGGTTAGGCGTTCGCGCGTGAGACCGATGGGTCCTGCGTTCGAATCTCACGAGGCGGGGTGGTGGACGCGCACTGGTGAGAAGTCCTACAAGAGGACGAACGGCTGTCCAGTGCTTTCAGGTTTTCCATGATGATCTAGCTTTAATTGACTCATGATCTCAACTATTAAAATTACCATAACTATTATGTTATAATGCCCGAAATAAGGGATGCCTAATTGAACTAGACAATGTATGCTATAATGTTGGAATTCAGAATCCTCGAAAACAATAATGTGTATATTTTTGATCGATTTCGGGACGTATCACCTAACTTCTTAAACCATTAGTCATGGTTATAACAAGGTCAGCATACAGGTAGTTTGTATAAAGTGGTTGTTTGAGTTAATCGATAGAAAAATCCAGATCTAGATTCCAGCTATTGGCACTCGTCAGTAAGGAGTATCTGTAATTTTGAGAGAGCTGATACTCCTTGGAGTATTCAATCTCATGTCACCCAAGCACTAAAAAGTACTTGACATACGTGACATTGATAATTAATCGGTAATCAATCAGTTTTTTAGGTAGTCTGTATCCAATAATATAGCTCAAAAGAAACGGATTTCATAAACTGATGTCACATCTTAGTTTAATGGTCGTATAGTTTTGTTTACAACCTACTTCTATCCCATACAACATCGCACTTGGTTAAACATTTCGCATCTACTTGAATTTATGGGAGACTTACTTCTTTATCAACCAGTTTGCAATCATTCCCCAGTAACCTACGTTTACTCTCAACATTTCCCACTTGGTTGGTTCGCCGTGAACGGGCAGTTGTAGTTGACTGTAGTTCTATTTTGTTTTATTAACTTCGACAATGCATGTTTAAGTCACACAATGAATGTAGTTGGACTATTTTTGTTGGATAGAGAGTAATTATTGGAAAGTGTAGTGTGTATATTTTAATCATTTCCCAAACTCAAATGTGAATGTTCTTGTGTACAAATAGGTTTTTACACGGGTTCTAATCAGAAACAGATACACTGTTAGTAGTTGTAATATCCTAGTCGGTATAATGTATCGAAACACTTACCATTTAACAAGTTGGTTCTAAAATGTTTAAATCTCACTCCCCCTAATTTAATTTGGTCAACTAAGCAGTAGCAAGTATACCTCTAGCCTGGACTTAGAAATGTCTCTCATAGTCAAGTACACAAATTTGTACTTGTTTCAATTTTCTATTCTATTACAAATTTCCTACTTACAGTTTTTAAGATGAGATGATAATCTGTACATTAAACAGTAATATTGGTATAAACTGATTAGTTTTCATTATATCTCGTGAATAATACTATTATTTACTAATATTATTATTACCATTGATTTTTTAGCCAACAAAAGGATTCAGTAGAGTATGATGATATAACTAAGCTTCCTTCATCATCATGTGCTACTTTTATCAGCAGTTCCTTAATAATGACAACTATAGTGACAACGCAACTAACGCCAACTTTGTCAACCATCAGCATGACATCAAATACAACAATTACTCCTTCACAAATGATTACTACTTCCTCTGCGATCAGCCCAGATTGTCGAATAGTAGCCTTAGATGCAACCAAAATTCATGATCTTAATCACAATGTAAATGGTTCAGTTTCTTCAACTTCTCTACCATTTTCACCTTCAAATGCTGATAATAATAATAAATTGGTATACAAGAACTCAGATATTTTACAAAATGAAAATAAAGTGGTATCAGTTGGAAAATATGATGACAAAGGAGCAGCAAAAGATGTCGTTAATAATCAAATGAAATCACCGGTCAATAGCACTTTACTAGTAAATAATGATATTGATAATAGTAGTGATCAGAGAGATTCAATTAATGCAAATTATTCAAAATTATTAAGCACAGCTTGTGTTAGTAGTAGTGGTAGTAGTAATAGTATTAACGCTAGTAGTACAACATGTTCTAAATTGAAATCAACGATAACGCCTTTTGAATTTCCTCCTCCACCTGTAATTATCGGTCCTGATGATCGACGTATATTAACTCATTATATTGATGGACATATTATTTATGAAAGTGATAAACCATTTCCAGTAAGTTAAAGATATGTATGCATTTTGCGATCATTTCTTTATTTTCCTTAATGCTTCTGTAATATAATTTGGTTGTAAGCAGAAATGAATGGTGGCTAGCGATCGAATCCAGCATGTGCGTTTCGTCCTATTTTAGTTGGTTGTTTTACAGTCTAATTTATGGTAATAAGATGGATATCTCTTAAAAGTCGTCTCTGAACTATAGTGTCATGTCTTACAGTTTAATATTCTGAATAAACTATTGTTAACTAGTCAGTTAACCATTTGCTATTGATGTAAGTAGGACCCTAGGATAAATTTACGTGTCGGCTTGAATTCTCATGACTTACATCAGGATAGAGAGAAAATTGTCAAGATAAAAAGCGGAGAAGAGTAGTATAATTTACATTCAAAACCTAAGTTGTGGAAGTGAAGTACAAAAATATAAAATTTGACCAAAGACTAAACAGTTGAGAATGGGCACTTAACTTACTGTCAATGCTACTACATCAAATTTCACACCAATAAATGACGACTGTTATATGAACTCTAATCAAGAGTTCTCTGTGCCTACCAATATTGCTCAGCTCAATGATTAATAGCATCATGATCACTACTAAAGCGTTGGATGCCGGCTAAGTGATCTGAATCTCCTGGGTTCGGTCCTAGATGGGGTCGTGGATTCACACTGCCGAGGGGTTCCATACTAGGACGAAACATATTTAGTTCTTCCTGTTTTTCAATAGTTACCCAGCTAATATTAGTCCTTATTGTAAACTATGAAATAACTTCATGGACTAATTTTACTCATTCGTCGGTTTTTTTTTCTAGCATTGGTCGTCACCCTAGACATAGACTATGGATGTATTACCCATGCCTTAATCATGTCAGTCAATAAAGATTAATAGCTTCATCAATAGACTTTATCATTTTATTGAGTCAGTAAGCGAATGTTATAAAGACTTCTTTCTGTATTCTTTTGCGCTCAGTATTCAGAAATAACTGTTTCACTATCTTAATACTGTTATGCTATAACATACTGTAAGTGATACCTACACTAGAAGATTCATTCTAACTTTATCTTCATCTACTTCCTGCTTTTGTCAATTTACTACTAACTGTTAACCAATCAAGCGTACGATTTTCAGCCGCCAAGTCACAGTGTTGAAAGCCACTACACTTAATAGAGTTTGAGCAGCTAGATGATAAGAGTATCACTTGCCATCGTACCTAAAGTGTGTCTCAAAACTAAGTGCACGAATTTGTACCAATAGTAACTAATAAAGTGGTCGGTAAATGATACTTCGAACTTACCTATCAATCTTTTCAACCAAGGAATAGTTGATCGTTTAACCGATTAAATCCCTCAAACAAGTATTTTTACATTTTTATGCATATTATTTGTATCTCGAACAATTGAACACTAAAATAGATTGTTAGTGATAGTAATAATTGCTTACCTTAACGTATACTATCGATCATAATCGTATTTATTTATGTGTCATATAATGCTCTTATTTTTGTTTCTTTTTATTTCATTAGGTGAAAAATGGTATGATAGTGGTTGAAACAGCTCTTATGAAACAGCAACAGTCTTGTGTAGTCAGCTCTACTAATTCACCACTTAAGACTTTCATCATGAATGGTTATGAAGACAGAATAATGAATAATGTCAAATCACCTACAACTCCATCTTTCTCATCATTGAAAACAACAGCTGTAAAACCTGTTGATAACTGTGAATCCGAGGCGTTTATAGCTACTTCTTCATCTAAATTACCTATTCAAGATGTTGGTGGCTGTGGTAGTAGTTGGATTAACCCACTGAAAGTGTCAAATTCATCATCACTGTCTATTGTAGACAAGTATACGAATCACCCAGGATCAATTGTTACGTCTAATTCCCCCTGTATGTTGTTACATTATGAAACTCGACGTCGTAAACCATCCAGTGAACAACAATTGTACAACGATGTTCATGATGAAAATGACTGTAAGTTTTCTTCTTTCCTCTGGCTCACATTTGTTTGCCTCATCAGTATATAAGAAAATTAAATGATTTCAAACGCAGTACATTTCAGTGAAACAGTAAGGATGAACCTTGTATACTGTTAGCGCTATGAAGGTTAATAGTGATCTCGGTTATTATAAAGAGGAATTGTTCGTAGTCAAAAGGAATAGCTACTTGTAGCTGGTCATATGAATGACGTTCTTATGAGTAGTTTATTGTGTGCTAGCTCTATTTTCTTAACGCCTCATCATGGGCATCGGGTATCTATGAGGAGTGACTATATAAGCTATTGTATTGAACAAAATCATACACTGTATTTGTAAAATATGAAAACAATAAATTGAATACACCATTTCCATACCTTCCTTGAATTGTCTCTTACAAATTTCATCGTCCTTCCATTCCTGTTGCTAATCGGACTTTATTTATTTATTTATTTGAACACAAATATTGTTGCAAAGGGAGACTGAATACAAATGGGGACCATTAAAATTCATTGGGAGCATTGGTTTGAAAATGTTCTATAATTATTAGTTGTCTTAAAATTCATTAATGATTTGTTTAAATTCATTTATTCATTTCTAGCATCAAAAACCAATCATTATCATCAACCTACACAAGGAATTTTAGCATCATATCCCCATTCTACTATATTGTCTTTAGCTAATCGTAATTCGGCTAGTGTGGTTTACACTCAATCACCAATTGTATCAATTCCTAGTCGAAATGATAGACAATCATCTTCTGATATGAAAGGAGGAAATGAACCAACTATTATGGATGGTAAATCAATTGAAAGTTATTCACAGCATTCCTTGATCTCACAATATCAGAACACTGAATCTTCAATATCGCTTAGCAAACCATTAAATGAAATCCAGTCCAGTTCTGGAGTAAGCAAAAATAAAATATCTATTTTCCTTATCGAATGTTTACTTTATTACTACCCTCTGTAGGTATTATAACTTACAATACATGACATCATAGTTCATAATTACTTTTTTCAGTGGTGTTTAATTCCACAAAATAATTATCTTGCCCGTCAACATGATGATTTTTATTTGTTTTTAGTTTAGTAGTGTATAATCCAACGTTTAACTATTTTTATGATTTGCAATTTCATAGGTAGATTTGTTTGTTGTTCACTAAAATGAACGATAGTTAAAATACAATGATACATGGTTTCTGACTGATGGCTGTTTACGAGAACATTTTATTTGTAAAAACTCGTTTTCCCTTCACTATAAATTGAATTGATATCAGATGACAAAACAACTAGTTGCTCAGTAGAAGAATAGGTGTATTCCTAATAAAATAATATGCTCATGAACAAAATATTTGATAAACGTATAAATGAGATTGATGGGAAATCAAATTTGTAGGTAGGTAGGTAGGTAGGTCACTTGCGCTTCACCTTAACCATCGTATCGATTACAACACTCATATTTTGTTTTACGAGCAACTGTTTCATGTCGGTCCACTTTTTCTATGATTAATAATACTAAAAAAGTGAAAACAATAGATGCAATCAGTAAGTGAAAACGTTATTCTCTTCATAATTTCAAATAAGACTTTATGTATCATATAATCATATAAACGGTAATGGGAACCAGTAAAAAAATCGGTGCCAAGTGTTTAATGATAAAGATTGAAGTTACTTTTACATTACTGGAATAATTCAGGAATAATGTTCATTACATAATAATTCCATTTAAAGACGAAATGAAAACTAATAAATACTGAATAAGTGTTTTATTTTGCCACTTTTATTCTTCGATATTCATCAGTCATAAAAGAATAGAATTAGATTTAATAAAGATGTGTTCGGTTTGAAATACTGGGGAGTTCAGTATTTGAGGATTTTTCTCTTACCGGATAGTTCGAAAATAAGTGAACATGATTATTTATGTTCCATATGAGACGAGTTGCTATCTCGATTTATTAGCTAAGTGGATAGTGCATTAAGATTTGAAACGAAGTTGCTGCATTCGAATCCAAATGTGAACGTTAACCTTGGAGTACATCTGTTTGATGAGTCTTAAGTAAGACGAAACATGAACCGTAGATACAAATATTAGCCACAGTTCTTATATCCTAAGGAAATTCGAATTGACCATTTAAATACTGTAGATGTGACATGCCAATTATCATATATCTATTTTTTCTTTGTAAATTTTATACAAAGTGAGAATGATTGACTGTATTCAGGAAACTTTCCCAGGAAAAAGTAAGGCCAGAGTAGTACATAAACATCTTTTCATACTATCTTTAACTCTGTTGCCCTAGTAACACAGATTCACACTTAAACCCAGTGACATTTAATGAGCACAAATAATAAGTAATATATATATATACTATCCCGATGAGAATATTGAATGGTACTGTTTGGATCTATTTATGGACCAATACTATACATATGTTTTTATTGTATAATTGTTAAGAAGCTAAACTATGCATATTCATGTGCCTATTATTACAAGCTTTATTTTGACCCATAGACTATTATTATACCGTTCTTGAGTTATGTCCAGTCTATTAGCTACATTCTTTCACATTCACAGCCACTTTTGGCTAGATCTTGCACAAGTGTTGTTTTCTATTTTGTAGTGCGATGTAGTCTGTTTGGTTTGTATATAAACCCAGTATGTTTGAAATAGATGATTCGTATAGTAGAAGCTGCTATTGGTGTTCTGGACTCAACAGTCAAGGCTAGGCAGTAAGAATGACCGTTAGGGACTCTAGACTGCTCGTACGAGTTTATGCGTCATTGATTTGGTCTATAAGTCACTGTTCAATAATTGGCGATATCATTACGTTATATATTAATAGTGCACAAGTTATTATGTATATAGGATTATAGAGTTACATACATAGGTTGTTATTCAAGTTTAATATCAGTATTTTGTTGATTTTTTTTACTTAATTCTATTTTAACAGATTATGACTGGATTAACTTCCACTGCATTCAATCAATCTACATGTCAACAACGAACACCAAGTATTGCTCAAGCAATGTATGGTATATCTCAAACAATTACACCATCACCTGGACTATTAACACCTAATCCACCACCGAAAGGTCCAATATATAAATGGACTCCTGATGATGTTGTTGCGTTTGTTCGTGGTACACCTGGTTGTGGAGCATATGCATCGGCATTTTTAAATAATGAAATAGATGGTGAAGCATTATTATTATTAGCTGAAGATCAATTTATTCAACCACCGATTGGTATGAAAATAGGACCAGCGCTAAAATTAGTTGCACGATTAGAATCTTTAAAGAATTGTTGTTAATGACATTATTTAGTTGAATAACAATCCGGAATCTACACATAGACACAGATTTATTTCTATATATATATATATATATATATATATATATTTTATGCTGACTTATTTAAACTCGATACTCTTAATTTAAGCTATCACCTCTCTCTCTCTCTATCTCTCCATTGAAACAGTACACTCTTTTTCATTCTATATATTTATATTTCTTTCCGGTGATATTTATCATTCAATGTATGTAAACTTACATCAGTTTCTCATTTGACTTTCTTTTTTTTTTCCACAACATAGAGCATTTAGCCTAATCAATCAATTCATAAATCATATATTACTATTATTATTATTATTGTAAATAAGTAAATACAGCAGAATGATGAACAGATAGTGCTTTGTTTATTGTTCTCTTTCTATCTATCTGTATGTATAAGTGGCAGCAGTATTATCTGGCATCAATTCATAGATGACAATGACGTAATGATGTTCATCTATTTCAATTAATAATTCACTTGTTCTTACTGTTTATTTGTAAAAGTATTTATTCATTGACTATTATTATTTATTATTACTGTTTTACCCTGTTGTTGTCGATTGTTACCTTCTTCAATACAATAATTTCATATATCATGTATCCGTATATTCATCAAACAAAATTTGTTTTTATTACTGAATGTTGTCTTTTGCAAGTTGTCAATAACGAATAAAGAACTTAGATAGAGAAGACCAATTTATCATTTTCTGAAAAAATTACAGAGTGCTTTAGTAAAATACAAAAAAATCACACATTCAATACATGATTTGCACATCTTCCATTAGTTGTCTTTTACAAACCTCATTATTCCTTCATTCCTATTATTATTTTGATTGCTCTCAGTTTTCTTTCTTACTTCTTTTCATTTCAATCTTCTGTTTGCAGGTATTTCACTTCCGATTGGTGCCACATACTACTTATATCTGTCAACATAAGTAACACACCATATATATATCACGTTTGCGAAAGATCATTGGAGATGATATATCCATGAGGTCGTCCTTTTTATATTCTAATAATACCGTTGTATTTTTTTCTAAACTAATCGTTGAAGAATGTATACTTTACTGATGAATCAGTAGGATTCATCATAGCGGTTATTGGAATTTTGCATGGAATTCAAAATGTGATGATTAGTGTATATCTTAATAAGAGCTAGTAGTTATTAAGACGTGACAATTTTTCGCGAAGAAAATAGTAAGAAATACATATGATTAATATGTATACGAAGTTTCCACATGATTTATTAATTCCTCAAGGTAACTTAAGGGTTTTCGAGATTTAACATCGAAGAACTATCAGTGTAAGTATAGCTATGAGACAGTCCCACACTGTGACTCCAACTCCTAATTCTAGCCTTGTTTTCGTTTATATGTAGTTGTTAAGCCCCTGATTTGTCTACCCACTGATAACTTGTCTCAATCTAGATTAAGACCTTGATGTGACAAGCTGAGTGGTTTAACTTTGATACTAGTATGCGTAGATTCAAAGTGAGAGTAACTGCTTGGGGCAGAGAGACGAAAACTATCCTATCACCTGATTGGATGATAAGCGGCCTCGAGAGAGAAGACGAGATAACTGGAACATTAATCGATTTATTCCCAATTCTGATCTCGTTCAGATTCAAATTAGTGTAAAAAGGTACATGAATAAATAGATGTTTAACAAGACCACAATGTACAAACAATTAGGAAAATACGATTACGTCCAAAACTGGGGATTGGGATAGAAAATAGAGAATAAAAGATTGTATTTAAATTGCAATAGCTTTGGAACACATAAGGCTATGGCAGTGAATCACACATCAAGCGAAAGCTTATGGTCTATAATAAACTAGGCAAAGGAATAAATGTTACTTTTTTTACAAGCTTTGAATTAAATGAAGTAACGTCCCCGAAAATAGCTTCCGTAGTTTGTCCTAGCTTCTTGTTTCTCTGTTCACATCAGTAGTGAACTATTCACTCAAATTACTTGCATCTTGATTGTCTTTACTTTCTCAGGGTCATTTTAAGTCTTTAAAGTCCGTCAGTTAGGTATACTTTTACCTTTTTTAGAAAGAATGAATCTAATTTATTGTACTTCAACATTTTTGACTAGCAATCTGATTGTAATTACAATGAAGTTTTCCTTTGTGAATATCCCTTGTCCATAGGTTAATTATCATACTACATCATTTAACTGCTGAACATTTAAGAAACGAAGTCATCATAATATTTGAAAAATCATAATGGTCAGAATGAAAACATATTAAACAACACTTGATAATACAGAGGAAAGCGCTCGTTAGTATATAAGGTACAAAGTAATTGACCTGAAAAATCAATGAATGGTTGACACTAGACATTACCAAAACTATATAAAGTTCAAGTGTTAAGTTTGTGTGATTGTAAATGCCTCAGTAAAGTGAAATGTATCCTGAAAATGGTTGAAATTTCCTGTACTATTCTGTCATTGATTAAGTTGTACTCACTCAATAATTCATTCCCATCTATCGTTCTTCTTGTCTGTAACTTGAGTGTTGTATTTCTTTCATACATGTGTGAAATTTGGACACTGCGTTCAGTTATTTGGTATTCTGTGTTTCAGTTCACCACAATGGGAAATAATACTGCAACTAGCTTACTTTACTCGTATTCTCACATTTGGAAACAAGAGAAATTATCAGTAATAAGTAACCGACGAGCCTTATTTTTGTGAGACTGCATCAATGATGACGTCTAGTATGAAGAATATCCCTAGACAGCTAAAATCAACTGTTAAGGACCTATTTTATGTCTAATTCTGACCATCCCTAGTCTCTTTCTATTCAACTACTACGCTAGTAAATTAACCGGTCAAACCGCATAGCAGTTCTGTGATTAAATCACAAGTTCTAGACATCTAAATCGATAAGGTTTTGTCACCATTTCTTAGCACTTCTCTATTTCGAACATTAGCACCACCACTCCCCAAAGTTACCTAGGATCGAATATTTGGAGTCTAGTCATGTCTGGTAAATCTGATGAGTGTTTCGGTAACCTTCAAAGACAAATAACAAACCTAGTTTTTTGTTGAATGACGATAATAAATAACCTGATGATATTCATTGTTTGCCTATAGTTTAACACTTGAATGGGTATCACATTATACAGCAAACGACTGTTTTACCTACCATGAAGCCTGGTTTATGTTTATATCAACGACACTTCTGATTATTTCAGTAAACTGCGGAGTCTGTCGGGGATGTTAGATCCCCAGAACTCACTTGTTAAATGCCTTAATTTTATCTTGAAAATTTGAATTTTTGTTTTCGCGCTGAAAACGCACTTTTCACCTTCATGTCGTATTTCCCACTTGGGAGAATCTTTAACGCTATTGGTCCGTTGTGTATTTTTAGTATGCTGTTTTTGCAACGCTTCCCAAGGACAGTTTTACACTGTATATATACGTTTGATTTGTGTCTGTTATTATTCGATCGTTTCTGGCTATTTGCAGAATATACTTCCCCATCCTAAGCTTGGACTTCTTCCTCTAGTTAGCGGGGCTGGGACACATCAAATAGCTAGCTTATTGGTCTACGTTCACAAGTCTTTGTTCCGTTCGCATACTAAGTGAACTCGTAATAGCTTCAAACCTAGCAGTGTCATATGCTATTGCTTATAGTCTAATTAGACAGGATCAAAGAAACCTATCGGAATCATGCAGCTTATACTTGGTTTTATCTACTTTTAGACAGTCATGGTCACAGGTGCAGATTATTGTAACGAATAGTTGGAGACGTTGGGTAATATGGATTAGAATCTGTCACAATACCCTGAATGGATTCACTCTTCATCTTCCTCTAGACGCTGACATTGTTACTACTTCTACAGCTCTGCGATTTTATCTTGGCAATCTTATCTCTCTGTGCAGATATGAAGTAGGAAATTGAAATGAAGCATATGTGTCATGTCAAACGCTGCTTATAATAGAATGACTCAGACTATGCTTTAAAAAGTATAATGTTGTTTATACAATCCAGATAATGGAACATCACTAAGCAATATGTAGTGTACTGCCCTGAAAATTGTCTATAGAATGTTAACACATGTAATTTCTATTACTTAAACAAATCACATGGTGCAAAAGCTAAACAAAACTGATTGTTTAAGTTATAAGTGATAGAATTTCTGAAATATTTATTCATCATTGTACAGTACTTGTTAAAAGTAAAAAAGCATTATATAAAGATAAATACATCTTTTAATTTGATTGGATAGTTTTAAGTAGAGTCCCTCCGACGGCTAGAAGTTGTAAATATTCATCAGCTCCATCAATTAGTCGAGAATCAGCAACCTAAAGATAGTTTTTTTTAACAAAAAAATAAATAAATAACTTTTTTAACAAAAGAATAACAATTAAAAACAGTGTTGGTAAGTTCTCTAATTCTAAAACAATGTCAATAAAATATTCATTATAGACTGAACAAAATTGAAAATGATCAAGAATCAACATAATTTTTATGATCCGCTGTGATAAATGTCACTTTAAAATATTTTATGAATCCTAGTCTTTACAAACAACTAAATTATATCACTTATCCTTTAGATGTTAGATTTCTGTATGTGTCGAATTGGTCATAAATTCTGTAATTGTTTTCAGAAAATAATTAATTTTAGTAGTTAAAGTCAAGAACTGATTGTAGCTAGATGATCGGTGAAAACCTGGAAGTAACATACGGTCGTTTCGTCCTAAACCAAACTCCCTATACTCATAAGAATTTTGTGCTTACTAGTAACTAGCTTCAAGATGTAGTGAGAAGCCGTAACCAGTGGAGCTCAGCCATATCAGATGTGAGTCAGTTATCCAACGCAGACAATAGATGAAGAGTTGAGCAAGATCATGGTCTAATTGAAGTTCAACATTGAGGCCGATGGGCCCTGACTCAGTGGTTTACAGTCTAAGCGTTCACGCGCCAGACTGAAGGTTCTCGGACCGATTCACGAGTGTAGGATCGTAAATGAGCACTGCTGAAGATTCTCATACTAAAACGAAATGGACTTCAAGTCCTTCAAGGTTTCTGGTAATGCTTTAGTTAAGATTAGTTCGTGGAAAAAGCTATGAAAATTCTACAATGTTTACTACGTAACACGTGACCCAACCATCTCAGTCAATGAAGATTCACAACCTCATCAATTGATTTACCATCACTTCCCAATGCCCTATGTTTAACCTTACTATTACTTAACTGGTCATCCCAGCAGATGCGAATAATATTTCTAAGACATTTGTGATCAAATACTAATGGTTTAAGAGTATCTTCTACTCTTAATGGCCACGTTTCACAGCCGTAAAGTAAACCAGAACGAACTGTTGCATAGTATGCTCGTCGTTTTATTGATAGACGGATATCTCGCCTTCGCCATAGGTGACGTAAGGTGGCAAAAGCTTAACGAGCTTTCCGATAAGTGCTGAGATTTCGTCAGACACCAACCCATTAGGGCTGATCAGACTTCCAAGATAAGTGAAGTTGTCAACGCGTTCGACTACATCACTCCCTATCCTTAGTTCAGGTGTTGACGCAGACCAGTCGTTGAGCGGCAGCTTGCATTTAGAGGGAGATAAGCGCATTCCAAACATTCTGGCATTGTTGCTCAGTGCTATCAAAAGACTCTGCATTTCATCATCGTCTTCACCGAACTGGACTATGTCATCTGCGTATTCTAAGTCGACAAGTGGATCTCCTGAAAGGAGGTCAATGCCCGAGAATTCAGTAGGTCTATGATGAAGTTAAACAAAAATGGAGAAAGTGGACAGCCTTGACGTACACCACTTGAGTTTGCAAAAGCAGATGACAGTTCGCCATAAGCTCTGACACGACTAGTAGTGTTCAAGTAAAGAGCCCTCACAAAGTTTACGTACTTCTTAGGTGCGCCTGAGGTACACCGTGGAAGGGTTCTTCTGGAGGTACCTGAAAAGGAAATTGGATTAGAGGTGGTCTTAGTGACCTGAGAGCGTGACCGCAATGCCCAAGGGACAACTGCCTAAGGTCGGTCACACACGACCTTTTTATGAGTAATTTTTGTGTTAGCTCCGTACTTGTTGAGACCTTACCGCCGGAGACGGATATCCGTGGGATAAGGCGAGGTGTGCATTTTTAGGGTCGACCTTTTCTAACCTCACCCCTCCTTGTGGGAAGGCAACATCGCTGTCATGTTGGTTGTCTGAAGGAAACACCTTACTGCTGTCACACCTCTGTACAGTCAGCAGTACGACTTCGCCTTCAGACCTATTTTTTACTCTGTTTTCAACGAAAGAAAAACATATCATATACAACTTAACTCTCTCCCTGACAACTGAATAATTTTTAACTACATACATATACCTATAATTTCTTCTGAATTTTATGTTTTGTAAGAAACTATATAGAATTTATTCGAACAGAAAACAAACACCTCACTTAATCGAATGACAACTTAAATAAAGGTAGAAAATTGTAGTTAATAACTAAAAAAAACTGACAGAAATATCTACTCAACTTTGCAGTTACACTTGTTAAATAACACTAGGATAAGGTTTTTGTAGCATATGAAAATGACACTAAGAAATATACCGTAAGAGTAAGATAAACAAATGAACTGAACACTAAATGTGACAGTATATATATAAATATATTAGATAAAAAAAAACATAACGAATGAAGACATCGACCTTTTTTAATTCATTACATAAAATTCATGTTAGGAAAAAATTAAACGAATTAAAGTGACTCAGAATATCGCTCCGATATTCATTTCAATGACCGTTCAATGAAGACAAAAAAAGTCAGCAGAACAGACTGAAACTCGGCTCCATTTTCATCACAGTCACATACACACACGCACATTCAAACATATATTTTATAAGACAATAAAAACTCTAAAATAATAGAAACATGTTCTTAACAATGGAAACAGGTCAATTTTCAAAACAAAAAAAACATTTGTACCAATAGTATTTTATCCTTCCTCATAATTCACGGACTAAATATCAAGACAGAGTTTGACCGTCAACCAAAACTCCAATATTTTCGTGACGTAAATACTAAAAAAATGTGACATGGTCTGACGCTAAAACACCAAGCATAGATCACATGTGAGGACAGTCAATCATAAGCAACCTACGACCTGGTGTGTATGTACGTCAGTTTAAGTTGCCATATCCCATTAGCACAATGAGATGAAATTGTCGGAGCAAATCCCAAAATAGTAGAGGTAGTAACATCATTAATGCTGGTAGAAAACATTAGGCATCGAAAATACGATTTGAGATAAATTAGTGAACTAATAAGATAAATTTATGAGGAATTTAGAAACTTAGGAGGACAACGATTGTGAGCCATGTCACCCAAAGTCTCTAACCATTGGTCACAATAATCACACTGACCCCAACCAGGTAGATCTACACCTATAAACATGACTCAGTTCACATATTATCGAAAATTTCGAACTCTGTTTGCCAAAATTTTTTGGATTGTGAAATATCTTATCAGGAGGACGAATAGTGCTACAGAGTTCATAAGTACAACCTGTTCATGTTTTTATCATGATTGATCTCGTCTGTCATATGCACAAAAAAATACAATCGCCAACATTTACAGACACTCACACTTCACAACCACTTTTCACTGGTAAATACAGGCACAGACATGAATACATATCTTCAAAATGGTTAAAAAAAATGAATACCTCAAACAAAGGACTCATTCGATCACAATACTGCAATGGATCAAGATTATTGACAGTTACAGCCCGGCGAACTTTAGATCCATCATATATTGTATAACTTTGATTGCCCCCAAATGCCCTGGTGCGGTGGAGGTAGGGTAGAGTCAGCTCTTCTTCTTGAAATGCTCTCATATGTCACGTGCATACAACCACTGTCAAGGAAGTCATACTCACTGACTTCTCGTGGCATTACTGTTGTTTACGAAATTGAGAGGACGACGAAAAGCGAATGTCCGGCGCTTTAACCGGGTTGGTGGACATGGAGAGTCCACCTAGGGGAGTTGGAAAACCCTCATTCCAAACCAAGGGTGCACATGGGCTCCAGAATCCTAAGGAAACAAATAGGGCATGAACCGATTGTTGGTCACCGGCTACCATGGGACTGCATCTTCTGACGTTGCTCCACTACCTCGTGGAGTAGACCTTCAGGTCAAAGGCTCAGGGTGTGGCCCCCAAGAATACCACCTGCTTCAGTTTGGGCAACTGGGAAGTATTCTAGCCCTCACATAAGTCATTCGATTTATGTGACGCATATCTGCTTGGTGTCTTTTTGTACTAGTGTTTATGTTTAAATAAATAATACTTAATCCAGACAGCTATGTACTTGTCTGATCGGTTGACTTAAATCTTTATTTAAAATCATTACAGAGAGAAAGACAAAACTCATTTAACAAGTGTCAGTCTATGTAAGGTTGTTGGGATTAGTTGATCCACATACCTTATATAAGGGCTACTGATACTAACCGATTCCTTAAATCAGACTAGATGAAGTATGATTTGAACCTGCAACCAATTATTTCAAAGGAAATTCTTCCAACCACAAACCTATTGATTCTTTCCTATAGATTCTACTTATCGTTCTCAACATAAAAATTATTAGTTGCCCGAATCATCATAACCTTTAACCTGAATGATATGCGATGAGATTTTTAGCTTAGAAATGATAAAAATAATCTATTTATAAGAAGGCTCAATTTTATTATAAGGATTACTGATATTTTGGTGGAATTTTGTCCAAAAAACTGGAGGTTTGATTATGAACTTCCGTCAACCTCATTAGCACAAATACCTGATGATGTGGGCTATCTAAATTTTTCCGTACATGAATAACGGCTTGTTGTATCGACAATGATCTTAATTAATTGTTTATTGAACGTTGTCCTAACACGGCGATTTATCAGCTTCAGATGTATTTTAAATATGAAGTGGAATAGATTATTCAAATTTCAGACTAATATTCATGTTTTATTACTAAGTACAATACGATGAATGATTGCTGACCAAATACGAAAAAGCAAACTACTTTTTAAACAGTACTTACAGCAAGAGATTCCAAAATAGATGCCTTTTGAATACAGGATAGTTTTTCGTCATTGATTATATGTTCGTGCAGTTGATAAGTGGTCTGATGTGCTGAATAACCTTCCAATAATAAATTCTAAAAACAATATTAGCGAAAGAAAGTGGTTACGGGAATAGATTTTATAATAAGAAAAAACGAGTTTTGCATATTTTCACAATTTTCACCGTTCAAAACATAAACTGATCTCAAGTAGAGCGTTGCTGGGATAATGATTAAGATTGATTGAGATTAGTAATCAAGTACAGCCTTGCGTTAGCAAATTTAGATAGCATTTATTATGTAACAGTCATATATATCCATCTAGTGAGTTTGTAAATGTGTACATACTAATGTGGATGGAATATGCATTACGTATACCAAGGTATCATCACAAATCAATTCCAACCATAAATTATTCAGTATCACCCAAACACGTTCGAATTTAATTGTGTACCAAGTGAAATAGCAATCAGTTGGACTTCACAATCAATCTTTAAAGTTATTTGCTAACAAGTTCTTTAAGATATCACAAAATTAGTGTTATATCTAGAGCATAGATTCTTGATATACCGCGTACTACTTGAGCACTCGAACGACAGAACCCTCCAAGTCGCAGAATGAGAAGACAGAAGACGAGTGAAGCAGAATGTTATTCCAACAGTGTTAAATATGGTACAAAATTATCAGGTATTTATAGTTTTTTAGTAAAAAACGAAATCATCATTACAGTCATCTAATCCGCACGTCGAAATCCTGGAATGTCTTCCCAAAGATGATTGGACGCAATATCTTTGGCTTTTTTTTAGCTACCTTGATTTCACCTGTGGGCCGTCCTCACAATTAGGTCCATTAAGAGTGTTTTAAAGCATTACTTCTCAATCTTGTAAGATTACATCTGGATGACCCATATGAGATTTATGTAATATAATTATACTACTTGTAAGTAACTCAACTTCTCTTGGATAATTTCTCTATTCATATTTCCATCGATCCACTTTACTGATTAATGTAAACACGATATTCGGTTAGCAATTTTAAATTAATCATTTCTTCTCATTTTCCATGCTTATCATTCATTGTTTGCTACTGATCGCATTAAATTAAACGCAGAATTATTGTAATGGGTGGATAGAAGATATATTTATTTGAATGCAAGTGATAGATTATAAACGCTGAATACTTCATCCTTTATTATTGGTTAATTCAATTTTCACTTTCAATGCACTATTTTTCTTCTGTAATAGAAAGTCATTAAATCACTACTTGTTCAGGGGTGTTTTATAACATTTTTCACCTCGACTTGAGATAGAAACACTTTTTATATAAGTCTATTTGCTTCTCTTTTCATACGGCAATGTGTTCTAACTCACATGTAGTGTAGTAATTCATTTGTCGAAATACCGAAAGGCGTCTATTTCATAATTTACATTGTAGCAGCTTAAGTACTGTAAAAAAACAACCCAACCTCTGTGTGATAAATTACTGCCTACCCTAACTTACAATACTGAATACCATAGTTGGTTTGAAAAAATGTAGAGATTCGTAGATAAAGATATGGTATCATTCCATAAAGTCGTTGATTGAAGCCATGTATGGAAAAGTGAAGACAAATTTCTTAGGGGTCATTCAATATTTATAAACAATCGTTAAAAACAGCGGGTAAATGGATCAAACTCGGTAGCACTGGCTAATTTCATTCATTCACTATTTAACAAATACATTAAAAGAACTCAGACTGTTCGCAAATTATATTAATAGTTTCTTCTAGTAGTATACTTGTAAATAATGGACACACATTAAAAGTTACCATGTATTTATCTGATATATTCAATTGGTCCATTTCTCTAGAAAACTGAAATGCGTCTTTTAAACTATTGGTCGCCAGTTTTCTACGAATTGGTCCTAATAATTTGGCTAACCATCGAACCAGCTTTTGATGATGGTGACTTAGTGATCTGCGTTGTACTATAACAAACTGTATTCTATGCTTTGTATTGTCTTATGAAATTTACGTACTGTTGGGATTTATTCAATAACATTTATTAAGACAATTGATATACGAAACCTTAGGAATTATTTTGAAGACTATCCACAACAGTCTATCTTTTAAATAATGTAGACGTTGTTCAGGTTTAACAAAACGACAATGAACAACTTAACAATCACATTATTCGGGCAGAGAGAACACGACAGCACTAACATAAATAGTATTATTTATTGAATAAAATAAAAATCAGGTCTATACCTAAAAAACTCACTTTGATAATGATTTGTAAATCATCGAAACTACCATTTTCTGATGTTTTAATAAGATTTTTAATTATATCACTCGGAACAACAGCTGCAGCCTCATCTAATTCTTTTGAGGTAATCGAAGAACGACAACCAACATCGGAATCATCAACGGATATAATCAACTGATGAACACATTGTAACATTGTGATACCTTGCCGTAAATCACCATGACAAAGTGACAGTAAATGATCCAATGTCTAAATAACAATATTGTTTTAGGAAGATAATAAGATTGTAGGAAAAATAATTTAATGCATAATATGGAGTTACAATAAATATCCATTATATGTTCAGTACAACGACATTGAACTGTTAACCAGCTACACAAATCTTACTTCAATTAATAAACATTATAATTGTGAGATATATAAATATAAAATAGGTAATTACCTGCAATTCATCAAACTGATAGCCTGACAAAAGTTTTTTTTAGTATGAAAGATGAATTAGATTAACTAGACACCTGACTAGGACTACTGATTAGGTTTTAAGGAATAGTCTTATTGTGTAGGTTGAATTTAGTATACACAGATGATAGTCAATGTTAAAGCAATTAACTCCTTTTATAAATTTCGACAGATCAATGAGAATACGGAATTGATCTGAAAAATGTAGTGTACTTGCGTTAAACATTTCGAACAATCTGGTCACACATATACTTCTTAGGATATTTTATATGAAAATTAATAAGGTTTAATTAAATGAAAGTCCAAGTAAACAAAGCAATAAAGGAGAGAGAAAAAATTAACATCGTATAGAAAGGATAGGAAATTGTCGCATTACCCTAAGCCAGGGTAAATTCAAGGTCACGACAAATCTTTTTGTACACATAAGAGGGGTTTGAATTTACGAATAGCCAAGGCTTTTATAAACTTGAGAACTTGTGCTTGACAATTTCTATACAACGTTTTAAAAGCTTTATTGATAACAACTCTATACCCCGTTCCAATTATATGTTATGACATCGATGAACATGGTTTTCTACTTCCCACCTTTATCAGAACATTTGAAATTAACTGGTTCTGAAGCCATCTAGCACATGTTCCATAACCCTTAATTGGTTTACTCGATTACTTCTCCGTATGTCTATGTCCGCACAAACACGTAAATTGGTAAATGCAATGGAGTCATTCGTGGGTTGTCCAGGTCTATTTGGAATCATGGGCTTAGACTTTTCAATTACAACCATTTTAGCAGCATAATAGGTTTTCTCGACGGCTGCTTTTAGTTTCTCTCTGGATCGGGAATCTACCTGGGGAGCATGATCGATGAACAAGGAGGATCGGATGCAGACGTAAAGGCGATGATTGGCAAAGCAAGGACAGTATTCCTACAACTGAAGAACATATTATTATTATTATTATTATCATTATTATTATTATTATCTGCTTTATTCAATATTATATTTTTGGTACAATATAGAATTCTCAGCGCAAATTATTTCAACAAGTTTCCGTTTCTTTCTTCTTGGTGGGTCCTGGCGATAAATATTGAGTGATCACCAGTTAGATGTTAGCACTTCAGTGAATGAACATCTGAATAATGTGCATTCTTTTCGTTGTATATTGCCAGCAACCACATTGTCTCTTATTGAGTTTTTTGTAACTTTGACAACGAAAGGTTGTACACTTTTCAAAAACGCAGCAGGATAGGTTGTGCGATTAATAAACATAATGATATATTAAGACAAATAAAAATCTATAACTTGTTGAAATATCTAGATGGCAGGAACAGGTAGCCCAGATGCTCAAGCAGGCCGCCCCTTACATATGGAACTCAAAACAACTGTCTGTCAACCAATATCGGTCACAATCTTCAATACGAACGTCAACACAGTCCTACTGTACGGAGCTGAAACCTGGAGAACTATTACAACCATCATCAAAATGGTATATGTATTTATAAACAATTGTCTACGCAAGATATACAATGTTAGAAATTTAGCATACAAACGATGTTTGCAGACAATCAGCTCTGAATGTGAAATTGTCTACATTTCTTGAACTCATCGGGTAGGATTTTATGAGGGCGCTTTTGTTTACAAATATAATTTATTGTTAAACGATAAGGAATTTAGTGTGTGAGAACAACTATTGACTTAATTTATCTGGGTAGATATATAGTCAGCTAGTCAAGCAGAACGTTGGACCTGGAGCACATATAATTCAGTTCGAGTTGCTACACCGAATCAGCACAGCGAAATGGAATTATTAACGCAAATGCCAGAGTAATAGAAGTAGTGAGATTGTCAATATATCTAAAGAATATTAAGTATAGGTGATATGATTTAAGAAAAACCGAATGTAAAGAAGTATATATTTGGATAAACCAATGAGAAAACAAATGTTATCAGAATTATGTGACATATTTGAGTAAACTGATCACACGTATACTTATTAAAATAGTACGTAGGGAAAAATAAAAGATCAATTATACAAACTTGAAGGCAAGAGGAAATAAAGATAGTAATAAAGTAAACAATGTGAAAACCACACTGGATAATCAGTATTAATAGGGAGTAGGCTAAGGGTTAGAACAAAATGTTTTTGAGCACACATCCAAGGCTTCAATAAACCTCAGTATCAAAATCATAACCTGTCTTAATCAAATGTTTTGCAATAAAGGAAGATATTTGTTTATCCTGTGATAATATTTGACCATCGAAGTTCATTGGCTTCTGTAACCATTTAAATGAATCCAACCACCCATACCTGAAGATCACGACCGTTCCTCCTGTTTCCGCATATACATGTAAATTAATAGACGTAATAGAATGTTACACAATCTTTCCCCAGAATATCTCAACTTTTCAATAATGAGCTGAGGTGTGTAAAATGTCTCACTAGTATCTAATTTAAGTATTCATTTCAACATAAGACTATATGATTTGCGCCTGAGTGGTACGGTAATATTGATTAGTTGTTTGGGTACCAGAAGTATAGTAGGTCTCATCATAACGTTCCCTTTCCATCGGTACATAAACCTTAATGATTAACCTATATTCATCAATGTTTTGGTCAGGAGATTTCCCTTACCCTCAATGTAAATACGATTGATCCTAGTAACCAAACCGTTTATAAACCCTACGATTGTGCTGGACTGAACGGTGACTATGGAAACTAAGGAATCTTTTTGTCCATGTTGGCTTTCTACATAAAGGACATTTGATAGGAACATCACCTCTTCTACCAACTAATATACCCAGAAAGGGGAGCAGGTTATGCATCTCTCGATAGTTGAGAGGACAGGGTTGTCTAGTCTCACCATTCCTCTCCAACTTTGCCATCGATGACGTTCTGGGAACAGCTCTAATGGATGTAGATAATGTTGGTGTGGATCTGTTGACTGAAAAATACTTTTTAACCTTGAGCGTGCGGGTGATATTGTCTTACCGTCTAGTGTCCGTAGGTAAAGCATGGAACGTCCGAACAATGTGGGAGACCGGAAAGACCAGTCAAATAGCAACGGAAATGAGGAGATACAACTTGGCAGTACTGGGAATCAGCGAAACCCACTGGACCCAAGCTGGACAGAAAAGGCTAGCTACGGGAGAGATGCTGCTATACTCCGGTCACGAAGAGGAAAATGCTCCACACACTCAGGGAGTCGCTCTAATGCTGTCCAAAGTAGCACGAAATGCACTTGTAGGATGGGAATCTCACGGATCCAGAATCATCAAAGCATCATTCAAAACAAAGAAGGAGGGGATCTTAATGAATATTATCCAATGTTATGCACCCACCAATGATAGCAACGACGACATTAAAGATCAATTCTACGAGCGGCTGCAGTCAATCATAGAGAAATGCCCAAGAAAGGACCTCACCATTCTGATGGGAGATCTAAATGCCAAAGTCGGAATAGACAACACTGGATATGAAGATATTATGGGACGACATGGACTGGGAGAAAGAAACGAAAATGGAGAAAGATTTGCAAATCTATGTGCATTCAACAAATTGGTCATAGGAGGCACAATATTTCCACACAAGCGTATACACAAGGCTACATGGATCTCACCGGACCACACTACAGAGAACCAGATAGATCATATTTGCATCAACAAAAAATTCCGAAGGACAATGGAAGATGTGAGAACCAGGAGAGGTGCTGACGTAGCTTCAGATCACCACCTAGTTGTAGCCAATTTAAAACTGAAGCTAAAAAGAACTGGACAAGTGGACAAACAGCACTACAAAGGTTCAATACAGCCTTCCTTCGAGATACTGACAAACTCAATGAATTCAAGATAGCTCTCAACAACAGGTTCCAAGCCTTACAAGATCTACTGAAGGAAGAAGAAACTACTATGGAGGACAACTGGAAAGGCATCAAGGAAGCATTAACTTCAACGTGTCAAGAGGTTCTGGGCCTCAACGAGCACCATCATAAGGAATGGATCTTTACAGAAACACTGGACAAGATCAAAGAAAGGAAGAACAAGAAGGCAGCAATTAACAACAGCCGAACACGAGCAGAGAAAGTCCAAGCACAAGCTGAATACATAGAAGCAAACAAGCAAGTGAAGAGGAGCATTAGAGCCGACAAGAAGAAATACGTGGAAGAACTAGCAACGACGGCGGAAAAAGCTGCTAGAGAAGGAAATATGAAACAGCTTTACGATACAACGAAGAAACTAGCAGGGAAATACAGTAAACCAGAGAGGCCGGTCAAACACAAAGAAGGCAAGCCAATCACTGAAATTCAACAACAGCGGAACAGATGGGTAGAATACTTCGAGGAACTCCTGAATAGGCCGGCTCCAATGAATCCACCGGACATCGAAGCAGCACACACAGATCTTCCTATAGATGTCAACCCACCAACGAAGGAAGAAATCAGAATGGCGATCAGACAAATCAAGAACGGGAAAGCAGCAGGACCCGACAACATACCAGCTGAAGCACTGAAATCAGACATCGAACTACATACAAACATGCTTTATCTTCTATTCAAAAAGATTTGGGAGGAGGAACAAGTGCCGATGGACTGGAAAGAAGGACACCTCGTCAAGATTCCAAAGAAAGGAGATCTGAGCAAATGTGAAAACTACAGAGGCATTACACTACTGTCAATACCAGGGAAGGCCTTCAACAGAGTGTTGCTGAACCGGATGAAGGATGCAGTAGACGCCCAACTTCGAGATCAACAAGCTGGATTCCGTAAGGATCGATCGTGCACAGACCAAATTGCAACACTACGGATCATCGTCGAACAATCAGTTGAGTGGAACTCGTCACTATACATCAACTTCATTGATTATGAAAAGGCATTTGACAGTGTGGATAGGAGGACGTTATGGAAACTTCTTCGACACTACAGGGTTCCCGAGGAGATTGTCAATATTATCCGGAAGGAAAACACGGAATACAATGGACAGCTCAAAATCAATTAGACGATTTGGACTTCGCAGATGACCTAGCCCTCCTATCGCATACACACGAACAGATGCAGACAAAGACAGCCAGTGTAGCAGCAGTCTCTGCATCAGTAGGCCTCAAAATACACAAAGGGAAAACCAAGGTCCTCAAATACAACACGGATAACAGCAATCCAATCACTCTTGATGGCGAAACTCTAGAAGATGTAGAATCCTTCACATACCTGGGAAGCATAATCGATAAACAAGGAGGCTCAGATGCAGACGTAAAGGCGAGGATTGGCAAAGCAAGGGTCGCATTCCTACAATTGAAGAACATATGGAACTCAAAACAACTTTCAACCAATATCAAAGTGAGAATCTTCAATACGAACGTCAAGGCAGTCAGTTCTACTGTATGGAGCTGAAACTTGGAGAACTACAACAACCACCATCAAGAAGGTACAAGTATTTAAAAATGGCTGTCTACGCAAGATACTCAACATCCATTGGCCGGATACCATCAGCAACAGCCTTTTGTGAGAGAGAACAAACCAGCTTCCAGCTGAAGAGGAAATTAGGAAAAGACGATGGAAATTACGTCGGGAAATAAAAGCAGATATGGAAAGGATGAATAACAACTAGAAGGAGCTGGAAAGGATTGCCCAGGACAGGGTTGGATGGAGAATGCTGGTGAGCGGCCTATGCTCTTTCACGAGGAGTAACAGGAGTAAGTAAGTAAGTAATATAATTCTCAGCACAACCTACCTCATTAGTAATGGATAAATTTTCTGCATCTGCAATGTGACGTAAACGAGCACGTGCAATTTCATTATCCAATGGACGAAATCTAAACTTTGCACATCGACTTGTGATTGGTTCAATAATTCGCGTAACATAATTACAAGTTAAACAAAATCGTGTAGTTCTCATTTCAGTCTCCATTGTACGACGTAGAGCAGCCTAAATAATTGGAGGACAGATAAACTGATAAGCGTTATGTAATATACACATATTAGAGAATGAACTATTATAACTTGAATTGTAGCAAATCTGTGACACACCCCACATGGATTACGACTGACTGATATTGACTAGTTGAAAATTAGAAATACAACCAAGTAATACATCAACAGATATTCTTTGGAAACCGTTACAAACATTTCGGATATAAAACCAAAAGCCCGGTAAGGGATAGTATTTCCTTAAGCAATATATCTGAAAGATCCATTTAAAATATTGAGTGGTGGTCCAAGTTATCGTCTGATAATTTTTAATACATATTTAACCTCTTAAAATTAGGATGTTTCGCTAATTTTTTTGTAAATTTCCCATAAGTTCGTGTAACTACACGTTCTTAAGCTTGTACGAAATGCATTATTATCTAACCGAAATCGGTCCTGCAAACTCAGTTAAACATTATCCATTAATTCAATGTATTTGTTTTGATTGAGTATTAACCAATCAATTAGTTTGTTTCTAACTAGAATGAAAACAAACAGGGAAGTGATACAACTACATAGAATTGAAATACGCACAGAAAAAAAAAGAAATATACTTGTGCAGGTGCTGTCATAGAATCAGCTTCATCTAAGATTATTAATTTATATGGTGGTATATTAGTTGAACTTGAACCAGAGCTATTAGTACTACTACTAACAGCGATGTGAGCAAAAGCCTTCACTTTTTCTCGAATGACACTGATCCCACGTTCATCGCTCGCATTCAATTCTAAAACACGTTCTGAATACAAAGGGCTTGAAAAGAAAAAAAGATAGTTCATCAGAGAAAACAAGGGATAAGATACTTGAGACTTGGAGAAAATACGACTATGTCGAAAAGAAAAAAAAACGGTTGTGCAAGATCATGAATCGATTGAAGTTAGACATGAACACCGTTGAATATCGGCTCAGTGATATAGAGATATATACGGAGTTAAATGGAAGATTTATGTTCATAGCATATTTATGCGTTCATCGAAATTGGAGTTAGATTGGACGATTATAAGGTGATTTGTTTACAACATGATAATTGGTTTATTAATACCATTAAATGATACACAAAGATAAGAGAACTCGAACATTTAGGACAATATTACGTGTAAATTATGACCGTAGTCGCTTATTATTTTGATGTGAATTATCTTCGCTTTGTAAACAACCTATGGGATGAAACTAGTAAGTGATTTTACTAGCATCACTTTTGTTCATATCATCGTAATATTGCCATCGCTAACGAGAAATTTAAAAAGTTTTCATTCCTTTAGGTTGGTATGCAACGATTCATAAACCCGTTGCTGTAGATATACAACACGAAGTATTTGGTCTGGATAACTACTAATAATTGCATACCAGTTAACAATTTAAAGCTAAAACAAATGTTTGGATAATTATTAGCAATTGAATCCATAAGGTATGACTGATCCTATTTGTGACATGTCGGTTGGATGCACCTGCATCCACGTTAGCGTCTACTCCGAAACTCAAACCCAGTGCCTTTCACTTTAAAAACCCAACGCATCATCCACTTAACCACTGAGTCCAGATAGCTATTAATCCGTGCAACGGCGATGAACTTTATTTCGTTTGTGTTCGAATCTTCCAGTTATCGATGTTAAGGACTACAACCGGTCAGTCACTATTGGTTACGTGGATCATAGAAAAATTGTCACAATCACTTTCCCAAACAGTTAAAAACGAAATAAAACAAATGGTTTTAAGAACTTGGTATTTAGCAAAGTAACAAGAATATTGCATAGACTCTTAGGAATCTCAAAAGTGAAATAAGACATACTCAATGCATTAGCTTTTAACCACTCCGCAATAAAAATTATGTTCATATTAGTTACAACTTTTAATCTCAACAAAATAATGAGGCGTAATAATTTCGAAATAAAGAACCGGGCTAATTACTACCATGGAGGTCCTATGTTCAGTACTAAGTTCAACCTATCGGAAATGTGAATAAATATCTTACCCAAAAAGTTGACGAGCTAAAGCAAAAATCAAAGACGTTTTCCCAGTTCCCGGTGGTCCATAAAACAGTAAATTTGGCAACTAAACAGAAAATGTAAAAGCCAAAACAGACGTACATCAGATCCTTCAATACACCTTTGAAGAACGCTAACAACTTCTGTTTGATAAGCTACTTCATCTATTGTTTTTGGTCGACTACATCGATTAGCTTTTAATAGAGAAAAACTAACTATTTTTCAACCCAAGGGATGTGTTTTTGACTTTTTATGCGTCCTTTGCTATCTTGGGGCTTTTGTTTGAATCCAGTAAGGAAAGCTTCCATTATAATCGATACCTTACTATAGATAAGTCAACAGAAGTACCTAAAATGAAATCACAGAAAGATTTATATCACGAAACCTAATAAAAATGTCACAAATTATAGGTTAAGCTAGTAATAGCAATAACAATGTGTTTTCCGAACACAACAGGAAAAGGATTTCTTTAGAAGTCCCGAACGAAGAGATAAATGTGGTTTTTGCCTGAATTGGTCAAATCATAAAATATACAATCATCTCCATTTGTGTCCATGAATAAGGATGAGGTTGGCACTAAATGCATCTGTTCGAAAAAAATAACTATGACAGCGAGATGTGATTACAAAGATCCCAACTCACAAGCACAAACACAAAAAACCTGGGACATATGCGTTATTTTAAGTCCACCTGTAACATTTTCGCAAACAGATTGATTTTAAAAAAAGGTGAGTGGTAAAGAAATGGAAAAAATGTAGCAGCATTCATAGTGAAACTGAGTATACTCTTGAAAACACTCAAGACCACCAACTATTTGCGCATTTATTCAAAGTAATAAATTCGCCACAACCATTACCGGCTTGGCCATTCCAAAGGATGAACATGCGTTCGTAAGTACATGTTAAAAAACAAGAGGCAAGATGGCAAATCCATTGCACACAACAAGACCTTTATTTTAAAATCAATCCAATGGTAATTTCTCCTTAGTCCGAAGAAACTGCTATCAGGACACAAACGAATTTCTATCCAAGCTCCCCAAAGCGGAACACGACGAACTTAGAACCAACAGTGAACTCCTATTTAAACTAATGTTAATCGTTATGGAGCATTAAGTATGACAAACCGAATGCTGGATGTGAGTGTATAAATTCATTTATTATAGATAAATCATATAACCAATAGTAATCCTTGAGACTCGCGCTCTTACGAAGGTCTAATATCATTCTGAAGGAATCAGAATGACATGCCAATCGCAAGTGCTGCAGTACTAACTCCTAGTGATTTGTGATTTATTGACAAAAATATATCAAAACGTAGAATATTTTGTTCTGGTTCTTTAGTATTTTAGAGGTTTCCTTCGAGTCAGTTTCAGATGGAAAAGAAATAAAAACATAGACTATATGATCTACCACTAAACTGGGAATCTACGGTGGTGCAAAACGGAGGACTGAGTATTATCCATCGTAATGCTAGAGGGCGAACCCTACACAGCTCACTAATTGTTCTGCATAATGACCATATCAAACCGTTGAGGGACTTTAAAGCCAAAAATATCTCAATAAAGTTTACACCTAGTAGCATGGGAGGTGGCTTTACAATTAATGGACATTTTAGCGACGCTGAAGCGACCTTGAGAGAACGCACCTACTTACTAGGGTCAAAGGAGGGTTATGAATGAGTATGGGGGAATACGGGGACTCAAAGATAGAATTTAGGGTTAGGAACTAAAAAGGGTTTTCATCACGAACTAAAACAAGCTGTAATACATAAATGTTGTGTAATCATATGGATGAATAAATTGTGCTTTAAATTTGCATTGGTTGTCCAATAAAATATAGTATCACTACAGGGGAAACGGGGTGAAGGAAATATGAAAAGTGACAGAATTTCTTAAGGATAAGTGGGAATTGTTTCTAGAAGGAACAGCAATGATTCTAATCTAAAAAAAAGTTCAGCGTGTACTCAATGCACAACGATGCTACGTCTTTTAAAATACACCAATATATTGTTCTTTTTTAATAATAAAAGCTATCATTCAAGATTAATCAAAGTTATAATCAACGATTATGTTCTCCATCGTAAAAAAAGCACTTTACAGGTAAGACACCGACTCAGAAGGACTAACAAATCGTACCACCGACAGAACCTTAAAATTTTGAATGTTATCCCGGCAAAAAATTACAGAGAACGCGCAATTAGTCAGCCAATAACAGTCAGAGGTTATCCTTAATTTTTTCAATTTTCAAAGAAATAATAAAATGTTTGTTGGAAACAACAATTGATAACTTGTAATAATTAGCTCTGGTTTGACGAAAGAGCCCACATAATGCCATGAAAATTTCACACACAACGCGTATTATTTAAAACGACAGTGGAATTTTTCCTCGCTAAGTATATTATATTGTTTTGATCTTTTATTACGTAACAAGACTACTCTTTACATATTATTAAAAGAGATCATGTGGTTCAAGCCTTTGACTTCCGTATAATTGTCGAAAACGAGCAAGCGTTAGCTCAATCCAGACCCAACGTCTGGAAAGCAGATATACAAAACATTATACACTCATCATCGTCATAGATTGGACAGTAGAGACATAACCCTCAATTGAAACGGCATAGGACGCATTTTCCTACTGCACCCCACATCTCTTGGACTACACTAAGGGAGATGAGAAACTCTCCACCGTGTTTCAGTAGGGAGGTTCTCATCCTTCCTCTTAAGAGAAGAAAAATGTGGTTATGATTTAGGTTAATGGGGACTGACGACACAAAATCTTAATATTGGGGAGCTCGCAATACCTGTGCTGCGACCCTCTGTAAGTCTAGACGGTTTTACGAAGAGAAAATTGTCAAGGAATCCATAGAATATCCTAAACGCTTGTATTCCTATATAAACCAAAGGATAATAAGAAGAGTAAATATTCCTGCACTATGGGGAGACAGTACTGCTTCATCATTAGTGGAGGACGACTTTGGTAAAGCTCAAGTATATACCGTAGAAACGTTCTTCCCGTCAGTTCATAGCAATCCCCCAAACAAACACTGTTCTTTATCAGAAACTATCTTACGTGACGTTGTTTTAGCTGGTATTAAACTTCGGAGCAAATCTTACAGCTAGGATGACAAGCCAGCACTAACTGACTTTCTCACTGACGCCCATCAACCCTCCTGAAGGAACACAAGCCACCGACCAGGATTTTCTAAACAACCCAGTCCGGGACCTCCTTTCCAATTCTCGTCAAGTGCTATTTATTCTTTGATGTCCACCTCCAACTTGCCACGCGACGCACCCTTCGATCTTTCTCCCTTCCTAGTGCCTTTTTGATTTCAAATTAAAGCTTGCCTTATGATTCAGTTTGATGATTTCTGAAATTCATGTCCTGGCCACCTCCAGAATCTTTTCCTAATTACCTCTTCAGCTGGAAGGTAGTTTGCTCTCTCCCACAGTAGGTTGTTACTGATGGTATCCAGCCAACAGAAATCGAGTTTCTCACATAGACAACCGTTTGTAAATACTTGTACTCTTTCGATAATGGCTGTGGTAGTTCTCGAGGTTTCAGCTCCGCACAGTAGAACTATTTTCGCGTTGACATTGAAGAATCTGTCATTGATGTAGGTTGATAGTTCTTATGAGTCGCATATGTTCTTCAACTGTAGCAACGCTACCCTTACTTTTTCAATCCTTTCGTTCGTCTTTTCATCGGATCCTCCTTGGTCATCGATAATGCTACCCAGATACGTGAAAGTTTCCACCTCTTCCAAAGTTTTCCCACCAAGTGTGATTGAATTAGTGTTCTCCGTGTTGTATCTTGCTTTTTCCCTTCTGCTTGTTGTGGCCTACTTCTGCATAGCCTGGTGCTACATTGGTTATCTTTACCTGTATGCAATACACGCCTAGTAGGCTACCTGAGTGACATAACTCTGAAAGTTGCTACGGACGGAAGGACAGTGAAACCCTGAGTTTCTGTGACATCTTTAGTTCACAGTGCTGTAAGGATTTTGATGATCGCCTTCAAATCAGCTACAGTTGGCATTCATTTATACCATAGAGTACCGAAACGACTTATTCGTTTTAGAATCCTGCTTTTTGATCCTACTTTGTGTGTGGGGGTCACATGAGCTATCTTTCATATTTTTGAGTTCGTCCATGAAAATGAGTATAGGGTGAATGTTTTAAAAAACAGAATTGGTGAATCGAGTCCTACTTTTCCAAAGAAAATGGATGAGATGTCACCAGCATCTAAACTTGCCTAAGGCTACATCGTTTCGGTGGCATCAGTGATATTGTTGAGGCTTTATTTTATGTGGACGAAATAATGCTGCAAATGTAACTGATATTGACACTAGAGATATTGTCATGTTTGAAGCGATCACGAGTTCACCTAGTCTGCTATCCAAACAAAGACTCTGTGACCAAAGACCAATAATTTAGTTATTCTGATGCGTCCCAGCCCCGCTAACTGGAGGGAAAAGTCCAAGTTCGAAACGTGGAAGTATATTCCAGAGGCAGCCATAAGTACGAGGAATAACAACAGACACAAATCAGACATATATACACAGTACAAAATTGTCTTTCAGAAGCGTTACAAAATAACATACTAAAAGATACAACGAACCAATAGCGCTCAAGATCCTCCCAAGTGAGAAATATGACATAAAGGTGAAAATGGGCTCTTTTAGAGAGAAAACAAGAAATTCAAAATTTTAAAATGAAATTTCAAAAATAATGTGTTCACCAAGTGAATTCTGGGGACCCAACATGCCCAACACCTCCCTCTTTAATAACGTACGTTGCTCTGGTCCACGTGCATCTCGATCGTATGTTTCCGTTGTCGAAGTGACTACATTCTGGATCGTAGATCGTCTTGTCGTCGTGCTTCTTCTTGTGTTGAGACTACGGGAAGATTAAAGGTAACTAACGGGATGTCCAGTGGGATAATTCCCTCGGTCGAAGGGCGAACCGGGGCTAGCCGCTTACGTAGATGGTTCCGGTTTCCAGTCCGCCCATTTCTTCCCACCTCTACCTCGTACATAACTTGATCTAGTTTTCTGACCATATGTGCTCCAGGGACCATGATCTGGTTTGTAGTCCCGAGAGAACACCAGGCATCCAACTTCGTACGTTGGCAGTTCCTGGGACTTGATCTGTGACGGCGATGGTGCAGTTCTCGGAAGAACCAGATTGTAGATCGTCCCCAATTTTCTTCGCATGAGGATCTCTGCCGGGGAATTCTGCTCGGGTAACATATCACTAGGTGTCGTTCCGTAAGTGAATAAGAGGTTCTGCAATGTTTGCACTGGCGTTCCCTCCACTTTAGACTTGACTACGGCTCTCTTTAATGTATCCACAAATCTTTGTACTTGGCCATTTGATTGTGGGTAGTAAGGTGGAGAGAGGAATTGCTTGATGGTTAGCTGTTGGCGAAAATCTTGGAATCCAGTTAAGGTGAACTGCGAACCATTGTCTGATACAATTACATCCGGTGACTTATTGCGATCGAAAATCTCCGTCAAGAGATGTTTCGTTTCGGTAGTCATTGGTGGTGTGATGTGAACAATTTCTGGCCATTCTGAAACGGTGTCAACCACGACAAGATAGATGGTTCTGTTACGTGAATCGGCAAAATCGACATGTATCGTGGACCAGGGATACTCAACCTGTAGACATGGACCGGCGGCACTTTCGCGTTAAACTTCGCTGCATGCTTACACTGTGTACATTTACGTAAGAAATCCATGATATGTATGGTCTATGAGGGGCCAATAAGCATAGCTTCTGACAATGAATTTCATTCGTTTTTTTACCAGGATGGCCAATTTGGAACAAATTTAGCACCCCTGATTGTAGGAACTCTAGCACAACCACTCTATCTCCAAACACCAATCACTCATTCCTGACACATAATAAATTCCGACGGTGGCAAAGCTGCCTCATGTCACCATCGAGTCCATTTGACGGCCAGACATTGGTGACGTAGTTCATCGTTCTATTATTAATAGGGTCGTTTCTGCAGGCAGTTTGTATCTAAGAGGCTGAGACTGGCAAGGAACCAACAGCAGTTGCCAGGCAACAATGTGCGTGGTCTTCTGTTATAAGGAAGGTAATAACTACATCTTCGGAGGCCGTAGTGTGTTCGCTGATAGGTCTGCCTAACCAAAATGTTGGGCGCGCCGATACTGAACATCAAAATTGTAACCCAATAGTATCAAGTTCCATCGCTGGATGAGGTTTGCAGAGTGAGCTGGAATACAAGGTTTTGAATCGAAAATTGTGAGAAGAGGCCTGTAATCAATGAGAAGAGTAAACCATTGACCGCTATAAACATTATCTAATTCTTATTAATAAGATGATAAGAATAGGTCCTGCACTCGCCAAATACTTCTATTTTTACCCATGTCAGAGTAACTTAAAGAAAGGAAACGAATTCAGAAGCAACGTTCGAAAAGTGCCGTATTGAGGTTTTTGATTTTTAACCGACTAAACAAATTATAGAAACAAGTACTGTAGTAAGTATCGTTCATAGCCTCAAACAACTCCTTCTAGCGAAGTTTGGACGCAAAGAGTGCCTTGACATTAAAGATTTAACACAACCTGTCGGTCATTTGTCTTGATATATGTTAATATATACCCCTGCTCGTTTTCACATTCCTGCCACTACTTAACAGCACCGAGGAACAATTTTCACTTAGAGTTGAAGCTCGCTGGGCTAGGTTGTTTTTTATTTTATCCCAGGTATATGGAACTACTCGAAGTCATTTACGTACTTTGGGCTACCTTAAATAAGATCGACAAAATTCCATACTGAAAAGTGATTAAACTGATAAGCAATCGAAAAGTTAGCTAGAGCAACACGACAATTAGAAGTATGAGAATCTATCTGCCAACTAAGATTTCCCAGGGTAGTGAAATCTAAGACATAGAACTTGATTTATACTGGACGGAGTTAAAATGAATTTGTAATAAATACAGAATCGAAGGAATCATCAGCTAGTACAAGTATTCAAATCAAATAGGTTCTTTTTATATTTATTTGAAAAGATTTTTGATCCTTTATACATCCATAGACGATTGGGTAACATGATTGTAATTTAGTTTTATACGTTCGCTTTATTGCACTTTATAAAAGCCGCTATTTTTAACTTCACTTTCCTGG